TCAGTATCATTGCTAAGTGAGCAGCATACTTAGTCAAAGAGAGGTGATTTTGTGAGTAACTTGCAGTGGACCTAAGTACATGCCAGTTCTGTGTGCCTCCATTAAATGGATTAATTTGGTATTTATGCTGCTAAGAGCTGAGGCTCAGGATGCCAGAACAGGTAGGAACAAAATGAAAATTTCCTCCAAGATAATTAAAGCATTTCCCTCTGTGTCCTCAATTAAACCAAGCAACTAAATGAAATAAAGCAACCTGAAGATGAAAATGTCAACCAAAGTGTTCTAGTTTTCATCAGAGCTGTAATGCCATATAAATACCAGTAGCATACATTCTGCTTCCCAGTCCACAACAATTCCCTTCTCCAAATCCTTCTTTAGCTGTGGGGAGAGCTGCAAAGCTCCCTATTCTGATGCCTTCCATTAGATCAACAATGCTGTAACCTACAGTCTCAGCCTCACCAGATCTCAGCTTTTGCAACGATCTAGCATCAGTGAACATACTCTGTTATACACTCTATCTGCCTGCCCTCGTTGTCCTAAGCCGTGTTGCATGCCCTGCAGCTGGTGTGGGCCCTTTGCACCAGCAGCCCTGAGGCAGGAAGCACCTGGGGGTTCCCACCTGCAGGGATGGTGGAGAGGGGTTGCTGCTGCCCTAAGTGGAAATGCAGAATTAGCCCGTATCCTGGCTCCTGGTGGGAAAGTGTTTCACTAATCAGAACAATATTTTCCACCCTGCGGTGTCTCACAGACCTTTACACTCGCATCTGCAAAACACAGAGAAATTCTCCTGTCATTCTCATAACAAAGTCAAAATACAGAAATTGTTTTTAAATCTTGAGGGGTTTTTGTTGTTGTTGTTTTGCTTTTTTTTTTTTAAACAAGGGAGAGTACTCTATCCTGAGTAGAAATGCTCTCTCAGTTCAGCACAGAGTGCTACAGGAATGGCTGTAGTAGAATTTCATCTCATTAGGGTAAAGCTGCATTTCCAGGATGTTCTGGGGCGGGTGGAGAGCTGAGATGAGTCTGATCAAAAGTTTTTGTCATACAACACTAGCTTCTATTCCTATTCCAAACTGCAGAGAAAGAGGAGGACAATGACAAGAACTTTTGGGCATCTCATAATCCTAATTCCTCCAAAACATAAAGAAATGAAAGCGAACAGAGCAACAACACAGGGAAGGAGACTGAAAGTATGACACGGAGCTACTGCAGTCGGGTGTGGACAAACAGAGGCAAAGGGTCCTGCTATCCCTAGCATTAATAATGCACTTCTAGTTTTACTGTTTATATTCATTTTATCTAAGAAGAAAATATTTTGTTTTGAAAATGTTCTTATTATAATTCGTAGGATTATGTATAACAATAGAACACTTTGCATTGCAGAGGATAACAGACTAATCTCTCCTACAGGGATAACATTCCTTGCCAAGAGATCTAGAAAACAAAGCACTGAACTTCTTAGCAATTATTAAAAACAAATAAGGATGGTACATCACAGTTTGAAAGGCCATAGCATGTACAGAAGGATTTAGAAATCAATCACACAGAGAAGATGGGAAATGAGGTTAAGGAGTTGTTTGAACAATAACAGAAATATTTCTGACAGGCAAATGATGAAGGCTACAATAAAAACAACCTCTTAGCATATAGGATGAAAAGTCATGCTCTGGAAAGCAAAAGAAAAGGTAAGAAGCTAGGAGAAACAGTGAAACATTATAAGGGAAATAGAATGAGATAAAGATTCATTGTTTGGACAAGAAATTAAATATCGATGCAGCGAAAGATCAAAAATTATGGATTCAAGGAAAGTAAGGTGATCAAAAATTTTGCTTGTATTCTCTCAAATCATTCTGAGCTGGAATACCTAGCCTCCCTTTTATAGGATAGGATATATGTTTATCTGGGAAACCCTGCATAGTTTGCTCACTTTTTCTTTTATCCAGGGCTCCCAAGGCAATTAGAACAGCTCCCAGCTTCTACTGGCAATTTTTCTTTCTTGAAAGAAATGAAATTTAAGACTGAGAGAGACTAAGGAGGGATACTATTTAGTGATTTATAAACACTTATATAACAACTTACTTATCATCAATTAAATCCTCATAGTGTGCCACAGAGTATCTATGTAAGAAAGTAGAAAAATATATCTATAGAAACAGAATGGAATAATCATTAGCATGACTGTCCCCGATTGCACCTAATTCTTCCAGAAAAGAAAAGCGCTTTTAGAACTACATTATTTTAGACAAACATGGTGTTTTAAATACCTGGGAAGTAAACCTAAACCTAAAATTTCATGCAAGCAAAATGCTGGTGTCACATCTGCTGGCTCCACACACACAAGCACACACACACACACAAAAGGACGAAAATTCCCCAAAGACCTCAAGCTTTCCAGTGTCTCATTTGCATTAATCACTCCATGCATTCAAACATGTGCTCCTACTTTAATGTTGGATAATTACTGTTATGATAATCAAAACATCATTTAGTGAACCCAGCATATCATGTTGTAAATAACATAAAGATAATATTAGAAGCAGATAATTTAACCTGACATATGAAGACTTGCTCTCATTCATTGAAATGAAAATTTCTTCCCAGCATGTTAAGTATGTAACACTGTAGCTGTATGGAAAAAGTTCAGTTTTGAAAAAAAAATCTATAGAAACCTATGCCAAAAAGCACATTTTTAGATTTCAGTAAATTAGATTTTTTTTTACTAAATTATTTAGTGTTATTTAGTAAAATTGTCTGTCCATTAGATTCCACGGCTTGCCACTCAGAATCTGCACAGTTCTGTGATGACAGCTGGAGCATGCCCAGCAGAAGGAAGATGGTGAGCTGGCCACAACCAGCAAGGAGACATCTGGGAGCCCCATCATGTTAACTCAGTGAGTAATCAGTTTCACCACGGGTCAGTTCCTCATCGTAACCATCAAAGTTTACCACTTTTAACAGTGCAGCTGAGTGGTGGGCAGCATGGACGGAGATTGAACAAGGCACGGCAGTGGCTCTGCTAGACAAACAAGAAGCATGCAGGCTGCAAGTCAGAGTCCTGCAGTAAAAGAGGAAGTGCAAAGGCTAGTAAACATCCCTTTAAATGGCTGAAGGGTTTTGACAGGAGCTCACTCTGTGCTTGCCTTGTTTTCCCAAGCCAGCATGAAAGAGAGGAAAAGAGGGCCTACAAACCTTAGCAGAGCTCATTAAAGATTCAGGTATTCAAATAAGTTTCGGGTCCATTATTAAATAGAGTTACTCTGTCTGTGCGAATTGCTCCTTTGGCAATTTGCATAGTAATTCCAGCATTCCCAAACCCTCAGCAGTTCCTACAGAAAAAGGGAGGTAAAAAGAAAAGGCCTTTCACAAATACAAGACATGAGCTCTTAACTGCAAAAATCCGCTCACCACCAGTACACAAAAATACTGGAGAAAGTTCAGTTGAAAGGCTCAGATGGAAAATCTGGCAGGTGTCTGGAAAATAAAACATGAAAGAGAGATTGGGGACTGGCAGAATTTTTTTTAAAAGGTGCTGGTGCCCAGTTTTGGCAAAACTAGAGGAAGGAACAATTGCTTGCTATGAGTAGTTTTGGTTGATCTTCAACTAGAATAACTCACCTCCCCAAACTTGTCCAGGCCACTAAAGAAAGCATATCCATTGGGGGTACCTGAACCTGATAACACTAATTCAAATTGTTGGGCCTGCATTTGGGGAACATGCATCTGTACCAGAAAATAGGAAAGAACTCTATGGACATTTTAGGCACATCCAAAAATATGTGGATTTTCTACCATATAACACAAAGACTACCTCACACTTAGCATGATTGGGATCTGCATGAGTCAAGGTTTATCGCCTTGTGCCCAAGCCAGCCAGACACTAAAAGCCTGTGACTAAACTGAGAAAAAGGTAGCCCTGCAAGCTCTATTTTCTTACGGTGAATGGCTCGCGTTGAATCATCTGCTTGGGCCAGATAATGCCTGCACAAGTTGCAAGATAATGAGTTAAGCTCCACCAATGGAAGGCACAAACCTTCGAAGTGTGTTGGGGAAAACATCGAAATGAATGAAGCGAGGTTTGTTGCCTCCCACAGCAGCTACACAGAAGCTGGTCTGTTTGGGGAAGGCACGGCGCCTTTGAGTGCAGGGTGCCCTGCCCACAACACTGGTCACCTGCTGGGAGCCTGCATTGAGACGGGCTACATTATAATTGGATTTTCCGAAGGCACTGCATTAGCATTTTCCATGATCTCACCCTTATTAGCCAAATAGCTAATCGGAGTCGCGCTCTTACACTGTTTGCTAGTTAAGCGATCCACTGCTATACTGTCTGCAAGCCAACTGCAAATTCACACAGCGATAAAAACTCCTCTTTATCTAACAGGCAGGGAGTTTGTTCTGGGGCTAGTCTTGCAATTAAAACTCTAATTTTCAATAGATCGTGAAAAAGCAATTTCTCTCCAGTGCTCAGTTCACTTGGCGCTTCGCTTAGGCTCTTCCCAGTTCTTTACTGTAAGTTAGGAAAGCTTTTCTTTAATCAGCATAGGCAAGAGCAGCATTGCAGTAAAATTTAACAATAGAAAAGTTCTTTCCCATGGACTCTTCCCTAGTGTGTCTAAAATCAAACTCGCAACATGTTTCATCCTATATGGTTATTATTTAAATGCCTGTGTATGTTAATGGGAATTAAAATATCTGTTCTAAATGCAGAAATGACACACAAACCTTCTCTAGCTGATTCCTCTCTGTCTACATATAGATCAATAATCTGCTTGAGTAAGAATTTCAACTCATATTAACTACTTCTTGTTAGCAGGAAAGCACACAGGACATCTCATATGGCTCCTGGCACTAAGTCCCCACTTATTCCTTTAGATGGGGTCCCAGCAGCTTGGGGTACCTCCTTCACCAAGAGCCTGAAGGGAAGAGGCAGTCTGGCAAGTGGGTTACGAGGCAGTACTTGATGAACAGCCATTGACCGGAGTTTTAGAAAAGTCTCATAGTCGTAATACAATTTTGTTTAGAAATCCAGGCTTTATTCTCTGATTGGAAGTCACATGACAATGTTCAGATTCATTGCAGTGGGATTCTTTGCAAGAAGTCTTTGGAAATATAAATCAGCTTTCACTGTGAAGTTAAGCTCATGAAATACTTACACAAAAACTATACAGATACAAATAAGTATGAATAGAAAAAGAATTATTGTTTTGAAAGGAGGGCTGGCCTGGACTCAGAATGGGAATAGGCACCATGTGCCTGGCCTAACATCAATGGCACCTGATTCCAATTGCACAAACATGTTAAAACAGTGAAGTGCATTTCCTTTTTTACACACAACCAAGAAAACCTACAGAATTCAAGATGGTACCATAAACAAATCATTCCCAGGAATCAAATAAAAACAATTACAATTGTTAAACAGAAAGAATCACAACGCTATAGAGCTGGAAACTCTTGAATTCAAACCAGATGCAACTGTCTTCCAAAGCCCCAGCAACAGCTCCATCTTTTATCACAAGGCTTCTTAACAAATAGCCAGCACAAACAGCATTTTCAGAACAAAGGGCATTAACGCTTCCCAGTGGAGTTTTAAGTGGATTGTGAGGATCTCTAGCCTGAACAATCAGCTTTTCTATTGTCCTCACAGGGATTTCACAAGGCATAAATAACATGCCTGAAGAGATAAGGAGCTGGGACCAAAAAAAAAAAAAAAAAAAAAAAAAAAACACCAAAAGAAAAACAGAACAAAACCAAATAATGAAATTGCAAGACTAGCTTGCAGTCTTGGGTGTACACATCTTCAGGTCAAAGGCTGTCAGTGATGGGCTCCTTTCTCTGATGATGAATCTGCAAAAGTAAATCAATAGCATGATTCTGATACTGAGAAATCCAATCTGCTAATGATTCATTTATCTCAATGTTTTCTCTCCTCCCCTTCCCTTGGAGCCAATATCACACATCCTTACAAGCCAGTAATCAACCCAATACAAATAATAGTGAGCATGAAGAAGCAAAGGAGTGTGGGGACATACTGTAGTGCACCAGCATTCTCTATCTAGTCCTGAATAATCATGGTACAGTGCAATTCGGAGGTTCTATTAACCTCCATTCCCTATATAAAACCCTTCTAGATCTCTAAAAAGAGCAACTGACATTCAGCAGTGCTCATTAGGTGTACATTAACAGTAGGTGCACCCAAGAGAGTAGGTAAGTACAAAAGTACAACAGAGAGAAGAATTCAGTAATAATACAACTGTTAAGTAGGTGTCTGCACTTCAGATGTGTTTATCAGTAACTCATTCAAGCTAGGAAAACAAAAAATGATCAGAGAAAGGAAATGTACTATGGCCAATGTAATATGTCCTTCCTTCCTGAAGCTTCAAAAGATTCTTGAAATGCTGTAACTTGTTGCTAGTAGCACATACACTGGTGCTTACACCACTTCGCTTACAAGAGAAATATTAGGAGTGAAATACCTCCAGCAGGGATTTGAATTTGCCTAGGAGAATTGCTCTGCAGCTACTATGCAGTAACCCCATCTTTCATGTCTGAACACATGGGGTTGATGATATCCAAATGCAGATGAAAGAAAGTTAACCAAAGTATCCACATCTGTGACAAGGCACAGCACCACACAAATCATTGATTTTGGCTAAATTTTTCCTTTCAGGTATTATCAGAGCTAAAATTCACGTTACTTGTTCAGAAAAGCCAGGAAATGCAACCATTAGCAGATTGGTTCTTTGTACAAATTTAAGGTAGACAGAAAGAAATACAAATATATAAATATAAATATTTGTGCATTATGTGCACGTAAGATAAATCAATAATTTACAGTTCATCCATCCAGTGGAATATTGTACTCTTCTACCACATAGGGAACACCTCAGCTTGTACTCCCACACAATGTTTTTGAAGCAAAACCTTTTCCAAAGAAAACAATTTGATGAAAATGTGAAACACTGACTCTTTGGCCTTGAGCCTCTGACTTGCATTTTGAGAGTTCCAGGCAGCTCTGGTCCATCACTGCACAAAAGCCTCTTCTGCTCCCAGCCCCAAGGTCACATAACAGCATGGCACCAACAGTTTGCCATAGAAATGAGTGTAGAGGAAGACCAAAAGCTTCCATGATTCGGCAGCAAGAGCAATATGTCCAGTCTGGTCCTACTTTTCCAGCATCCTCTTTTCTGCTCACATGACTCCATGAAGAGAGAACACAAATCCTTCCCCAGTCAGAACAGGGTCAGGTAGTATCTCTGGGCAGAGATGCAAATAAACCTTACAGATAAGCAGCGGAGTAATTTCATACACATAGCCCCCTGCAACAGCAAGGAGGATGAAACACAACTTTTCTACCAAGCACCATATTTCAAAAACTTCACACCAAATTTAATATCCAACATCCACTGAAAGCAAAGCAAGATCTAGATAAATCACAATATGGCGTTCAATAGAAATGAAATTATATCCAGAGATATACAGATATATATACTGTTTCTCTTCACATTAGACACTTTCAGATTGTACTGTAGAAAATTAAAAATTTTTCTGTGATCTCTATCTCAAACTGACTTCAAAAAGAAATACTTCTCATGTTTTTGATGTTAAATCTGAGAGGGGTACAGAGTGGTCTTTTCTTTATATTGCAGCAGCAAAACTCAAGTTGTATCAGTGAAAATCCTGGAAATAATCATGTATACACACCCGAGGGAGGGCAAGCTGTTAATTAAATAACTGTCTTGACTTTTCTAATGAAATGTATGCACTGAAGACAGGGTAAATACCAACAGTGTTTCTTTCTTTTTTTTTTTTTTTCCCTCTCCAGGAAAATTAAGATGTCAGTTAATTGACTTTTGTTCTGTTTTTCATTGAAGATCTCCGCAAATAAATTTTTCCATTTCACATTTTTCCCCTCCCTGCAGATGCCATTATTTTCAATGGAAAACCCCACACTTCCCCCCTCTTCTTCCAATTAGCTGTAATTATAACAACATTAGCCGCAAAGTAGGTACCCTTGAGACCAAAATCTGGAAAGCAGCGCAGTGCAGAGGGGAACAGGAGATGATATTATAATGAAAGTAAGTGGACATATCAAGCTGCTACATGTATTCTTTTGGGCATCCCTAGGGCTTCACAGGTTGGTTTCTGCTTTCCAAGGAATGCCAGTTGCCTCGCTAAGAGCTGCCTGTGCCCAGCATAACTGGATCCAAAACTAAAATGTACAGTTTAGGTGAAAGAAATCCAGTAGTTGTATCAAACGGGGGCAATTGGGGTTCTCAAACATGTATTGAGACTCTTTCTGCCAAGAAAACAAATACAGTAAGATTAACTTTGGATGTGAAGAAATCAGTATGTGCCAGCAGTTGCGGCATTGCTCAGAGTAGGCTTTGTGCTATAAACCTCTTTTCCAGACAATTTTCCATTAAAAACTGAGTTCGGGGAAAATGTCCAAATATTAGTCTTTTTTTTTTTTTTTTTTTTTCCCCCCTAAACTGCCTTTTCAATGTTACGCAGTTGGATAAGGAAGGAAGTCAACACTATTTGCCAAAAAAAGTGACATTAAATGCACTTGCTGGAATTCTTTCTGCCTTGCTCCCTAGAAAGGAGGGAAAAAAAAGGGGAAACTTGTTCCAACAATTCTGAGTGACAAAGCACAGATATTTAGGAGCTAATGTCCCTCTGAAAGCAGCACAGCTGGCAGAACAAGGCTGAGCTGGAAGGATTTAAGCACGCTGTAAGAGCAGGATTTCCAAAGAGTGAAGAACTGGGGATGGGATCATCCCAGAGGCAGACAGGAGAAGTTAACTTCTCAGAAACCCATTGCTCATGCAATGAGTCATCTCTCTTCTTCCTTAGCCTCTTTCTTAACCTCTACCCACCTCCTACCATTTATCATTACACACTGCCCTTCTCTCTTTATTGTGACCCTCAAGCAAATAGCCTCACATTTTTGGAAGCCAAGTGATTTGTCCTAACCCTGCCCTGCAAACCATGAATGCCCATTACTTAATAGCCTAGTCTCTACTACCACCCATCTATGGGGCATGGCAAGGCACAGAGTGCTCCTGCCTAATTCCCCATGCAGCCTGCCTTCAGATGGAGTGTTTCATGTTTGGGAAGAGAAGGAGAAGACATCTTTGTTCTTACAGACAAGCTGTGCTCTGATATGAGTCATCTGACTTTTTTTGAGCTGTTCAACAACATGTGCAATGTGAAACTTCTGGGATACTAGTAGGAAGAAAAAGTAAGGAAATCAGATCCATAAGTTCGGATACAGTCCACATGCTCCTCTTTGCAAATGTCTGTTGAATATTTCTGGATTCGGCTTGGATCCCAACCTTTCTGGAAGTTACATTTTATGTGGTAAGTAAATCTTCACTGTTCCACACAACCCCTCACAGGTCAAAGAGTCTCCAAGCTCCTATGATTACCAATAGCAGTACCATCTTTCTTAATATATGAGGCCCATTGAAACTGTTTCTAAGGTCTCAAAGGCCTGAATGGTACTTTGATAATATTTAACTAAATGCCCTATTGCCAGAAATTTATTTATATGAAGCAAGTTTAGTAGTCAATACAAAGTAGTCTAAAGAAAAAAAATGTCAGCTTACAACAGCACAGATGCCTCTATCACAAATACTTGCAGAAAAGGTAAATTCATTTCAGGACAGATTTGCACCCTAATGCAACTATTTCTGATCCACTAAGCAGACAGCTTTTAGAGACACCAAAGCTAAAATAAACCACCTCTTCCTCTACCTTTGTTTGGCAGTGTCTTTGGGCTTTTTTGTTTGTTTGTTTGTTTTTGGTAGACCACTACAAGTATTACTAGCCAGGACTCTTTCTTACTCTTTTTTGCAGGACAATTTATCCCAAGAAGTTCTTTCTCCTCTTTCTGATTTTACTATAGGGTATCTCATTTCTCTCATTTCAACATAGCAAACGCAGTTCAATTGCAGCTTGCTTCACCTGGGCTTCCTCTTCCTATCCCATATCGATTTCTGCCCTTAAATTCCTGAGGTCTTGAGGTTTTTCCACCCTCCCTTTCTTATCTGGGAGTTCTAGATTTTAGTTGTTTTTCTTTAAAGTCTTCCATTTCCCCTGATTCATTTCCTCAGCCAGGAGATGCACATATATTGTCTCTTGCTACTTTAAGAGCTCTTTATGGCTACAATCACTATAGTTTGAAACATTCATTGCTTTGTCCTTTGAGATTGACTGTCATTTTCCTTGGGGAAGCATTAACTTTTATTAAAGAAAGCATTTCAAAAATAGCCGTGGGCATCTGTGAATAAAAATGGATTAAGTAATTTAAATCCTGATTACTGAATCAAAAATATAGAGAGGCCACATATTATTCTCAGTAGCTAGTCCTGGACAACATCATGTCTATAACAGTCAATAGCTTTTGTTTTACCTATTCAGACACATAGGGAGATCAAAATTTTAAGTACTCATAAATGTATACCAAGATTACTAGTTGTGCTTGGTCACATCCAGACACTCATACCTGCTTGCACACACGCCAGCCTTCAAATTCCCATGCTCTACACAAACAAAGGCAGGTGCAAGACACTTGAGAACACTGTTGCATTAGGCTTTGAACTCTGTGTTCAAGGTCACATTGCTGTCATTTCAAAGCTGAGAACTAGTCTCCAAGCTGCAGCACCCACTCTCACTGTACAGTAACTTCATCTTACTGCAAAGCCTACAGACCCTTCTTTTCACCCAGATTAAATCCATAAATGGTGCACAGATAGGAGCACCTCTATCTATTCTGTATCATAGAGCTAGTTACTGCCAGCGCAGAGACTCTCAGATTTGAGAGGTGTTTAAAACTGGGTTGGAGTTTTTTTTTACAGCATGTCATTGAAAAGATCTGTCTTCTGATTCACCTCATTTGTCTTCAGTTCTAATGCCACAATCTGTGACACATACTTAGTAATTATTTCTCAAAGAAAAAAAACCAGTATTGAAGGAAACTATGTTCAGATAGGGAAAACCTAAAGGTTTGCCCTAGAAACATCAATCTACCAAAACAGCATTTCTAAAGGCAACTGCCTCATGCTCAGAGTTGCTGCACTGGTGTTCGGTTTTTCTATAATGAAGCACTAGCTCAGAAGAGATGAGATTTATTGGTCAGTTTATCACCTAATGAGGAAATGAAAGCTGAGAAATGAGACTCAGGAATGCTGCCACACATACTAACTCATTTAAACTCAGAATTGCAATTAGAAGTAGTCAAAAAGAGAACAAAGAAATTGGAAAACATTAAGAACACTTTCATCATATATTCTTGGAGATTCTAAATTTGAAACATTTCTTAAAACAAATGGCTTAAACACAGATTTAATTTAAGTGACTATATATAACATATAAATCCAGGCTAGTGCATTTTAATTGATAGTAGACATTGGACTTCCCTGTGACCAATGGCTAATAAAACACTGTTTTATTAGCAAAGATAAAAAGAGCCCTGAAGATACACTACAGACGTACCCTACATAGCACCATGATGGTACTAGCTGAGAATTCTTCATTATGGACACTAAAAAAAGAAAGGGAAAAGTCTGTGAGTTTCCTATTCACTGTTTCACTGAGGAGGTGGCATTTGGATGTTCTGGACAAGGAACAGTTAAAGAAAGACAGAACATGGGGTTTAAAAAAGATTTTCAAGGAGGCAGAAGTCATTATAATCAAACAGTGAAAAATAATTTGCTTTTCTTCAGATCCCCTAAGTGTACTGCCCTGGACCACAGCTGCAGTTGGTGGCCGGACGTTTCATACACTGGTATAAACATCCTCTCAGTATTCTCTGGTGCAATAAATCACTCTGAGTTTAAGTGGGAGGAACTACAAAATTAATCTCCTGTCCTCTCTTGCAGTCACAGCACTACTTTCCCTGCAACCACATCAGAACCCTCCAAGCAGTTGCCACGTAATTATGGGAAGCTTGTCCTCTGTTTTGGCAAGCTATGTTCCCACCGCACCCTCTCTTCTGTACAAATGTGGGGGACTATAAACAACAGAAGAGTTACTCTGCAGCCATCTTCTTCCAGATGTTACTATGCAGTTTTTGCTGGTGACTCCCTCCCAGTCCATATGGAACCCACTCACCCCAGGAAATGGTGCTCAGATGGAGTGTACATACTCCGGCAGTGTACACCAGCTAACCTGGTCACTCCCCTAGTGCTGCACTGGATGATGCATCATTTGTTTGAGACAGTATTGATATAAAAGGACCATTTAGACATGAGAACAGAGAAAAACATGAAACTTAAGAGAGAGAAGCAGTGGACTGGGGAAATTCTGGATTTGCACCCAGAACAAAGTCCTTTCTTCGTGCTCCCTGGCGGTCTTTTAAGAGGCTGCCAAGCACTTCAAAATTCCAAGGAACTTTGCATGACTTCAAATGCAGCTACAAATATTAAATGATCCTCCTGGTTTCCAACAGATAGCTTACATCAACACTTCAGCAAGCAATTAATTTGGTCTGTTTAAATAGTTTTATTTTTAGACCCAGCACACTAAACTACCAGAACTGATCAAGAACAGGCATTTTCACTTTAAAGTGAAATAATGTTCTAAATCCTGCACTTTGTTATCAAGGACTCCTAAAACCTGCCCCATCTTGGCTCCCAAGTTTGGCTCATCATTGAATTTAGTTTTAGCTGAAGCAGCAGAACCTCAAAGACAATTCTGAGGATATCTACTCTTTAGGACTTCACAGGCATTTAATGAGGCAAATCCATGATCCCATAATGTGTAACAGAGATATTTTACCGATTGCAACAAAGTCGAAAGCTGTGACATAGATGATATTACATTAGAAACATCACCTGTGTTGCACATACACCAATCTCATCTTGCTGAAGCAAAGCTGTCATGTAAGCACTCAACAGATAAATAGGAAAGTTTACTATATATCCCTCGAAAGCCCCCATTTTAAAAAAATAGTACAGCTGTTGTCTTACCCTTTGCCTTGTGCTGAACATCTGGAGGAAACTGGTCAGGAACATACCACTGATAGTCTGGCTGCACAGAACAATAAAACATTATTACAGCAATATGGACTTCACAGACACTTCAAACAAGAGAATAGTGGCATGTTAAAAACATAATTGTGCTGTGAAGCTTTTTATTAGTCATACAGAAGTAGCTTACAAAAATCTTATATCTAGCTTGATTTTCTACCAGTTGAGACTTTCTGCTTGCTTCCATCTTTGTGATGCATGGTTTAGTTGCTGCACCAATTAGAAACATTGTTGTAAACCTTTCTAGATCCTTCAAATCAAAAAACATTAACAGAAGCTAGTTCAATTTTAAATGGGCTTTATAGTACACTGCAGCTAGGAATAAAGGAATAAAACATATCAGAAGATATGACTGGCTCCATCCTCTATACTTAGCAAGCCAGAGAAGCCTGGTGTGCACTGTGACATGACAGGTGAACCTGTTCTACTTTCAGTACAGGTAACACACTGCTTTGCACAATAGGAAAATCCTTTTGAATAAAGTTCTCTCCCTTTTCCCTTTCCCACAAATTAGCATTTCTGTTGCAATCACATTAGCTGTTGTTTGATAATCTATTGAAAATACCATGGAATGAGAAGATTCCCCATCTTTCTTATAAGAAGCACTATTGAGAAGGTTGTGTGCCTACAAGCATAGTACATGGAAATTCTTCATGGTAAGGAACAGTAATGAAGAAAGCAAAATTGTGTCGTAGTTTATATTGTGCACTGTGGTAAGTGAGTGTTACGAGTAGAGAAAACAATCCAGGGACCAGGCTGTTTATCTGAAGCTCTGTTAAACCAGCAGTGTGATTTGAGCACTGCATTCAAGCTCATCAAATTACTTCCAGGCTTCAAATTAGTTAAATAATTGCTGTTTTGCAGAAATTACTCTAACAAAACCCTGAGTAGTCCAAGGAGACTCTTACAGACTTCAACTTGTAGACAGAAATGCCATTAATGTCTCAAGAAGTTTTGCCTCAATTAAGATGGCAAGATGAAGCTGCAGATACAGAAAAGAGATTCAGCTTCTATATGTGCTTTCATTCAGTCACATAGCAGTGATCATTATCATATGTTGCCAGGGAAAAGGAAGTATCCTATTTTCACTTGAAGAACATCGTTCACAGGAATTAACTAATTCTGTGTTTGAGGACAAACAAACAGGCTTTGATACAATGCAAGACTGTGCTTTACTTTACGCACCGTTAGTTTTCCCCTCTAATGGTTCAAAATGTATTTATCTGCATTGCTCTTCTGAATTTCTACTCCCTTTTTTGTTCTCTGATTTACTGTTTTCTTTCACGCGTACACAATGCAGAGTGGAATGCATTTCAGAGAAAAGAGATGTATTTCATGTTAGACTAAACAGATTTTTTCTATTGACAAGTAAAATGAACAAAAAGGCACAAGATATAAAAAGACTGAAAAAGCAAAAGCACAGACTAAACACACAGGGTTACATACGTTAACTCAGGACACCCATTAAATTCTAACACCTTTCCTCATTGCTAACAAATTGCTCAGGGAGCTATCAAAAGCTCAGAGCAGTAACGCTGCACTCACACAGGCAGAGAATTTCAAAGAAAGCTCAGAATGAAACTAGGAGTTACAAAGTGACCAGTCAAAGTGACCCCAGTGTTCCGGCAGGAACGGTTAAACTGTAAGCCCAGTGATCCTTTACAGAATTAGAAATCCAGATGATGAAAGTTCAGGGAGAAGAGCCAAAATAATCTGGGACAGTGTCCAAATTGAAGTGAAAAACATTCCCCAATGCTTCAAATTCTGATAAGCAGGTAGATGAGCACACTCCTGAAGTATGGAAATGAGGTTTGACCACAGCCTTCTGCTTGTTTCTGCAGCCTTATATGTATTTTGCAAGAACTAAGCTTGAATTTCTCAAATAAATGAACATCTTTAGTAGGCGATAGCTTTATAGGCAGAAACAGATACTGTATATCTAAAATGACATTCACCATGTTTAAATGGATCTTCACTGGTTTTGAAGGGGTACAGCCTTCTTTTTAGATAACCCAGAGCACTTCAAAAATATCAGTCTTTGAAGCAGTATTTTCATTGAAATAGACAAGTCCACCTGACATAATCTGGCCTAAAGAAAAAGATTTCACTTCATGCTGAGGATTACAGGAAAAGGGCCAATTTCCTGCTGTGTTATCTACATACAAATGTAACTCCCACTTATACTTCTTTTTTTTCCCCCCTCTTCTCCCAGTACACAGGCTTGCTTGGGAAAACTGCATTCCTAGAGCATTCATGGTCAGAGTGGCTCAACTCTAGTAGAACCTCATTCCTCACATAATCCTACTTTACATCAGAGGACCAGAAGGAAGGTACTACTTGGTACAAGAGATAACATCTGGAATTTCACCCTTACAGTTTAACAGCAGCTCTGTGAATCCTACAGCTGGCTTGTCAGCGTGTGGGAATGGGGACGGGGAATGTGTGACTGTGCATCTGTCTACAGGAGTATTGCCTGGAGGTAGGACAGCTGTATTATCCACGAATGCAGAAATCGTAAGTGAAGCACAGAAGTTATTTTCCAGTGACAAGGCCAAAGAAAGAAATACTCAGGGTAGGACATGGAAATAAGCCATTAGCCAACAAGCTTTCTTAGGCAGACTAGACAGAAGAGAACAAAATAATATTGGCTGCAGCTAAATACTTATTGTTGTCACTATGATTTATTCTGAATGCCCAGAACTGGGATCCAGCTAGAAAAGGCTCTGAATTTACATGGATGTAAATTAATCTGAGAAACCAGCAAGAGCTTAATCAGACAACCTTATTTTTTTTTTTAATTATAGGATGACCACCATTATGACTGAAATCAAATGGATAATAGTCCCCTTTTTCTTCTCAGCAATTTAAAAATAATTAGTATTTGCTAAAATTATTTTAAAATTTACAAGGATATATACTTAAGGTATATAATTATTTACAGGCTTAAATTGCTGTAATTTTTTTCCTCTACACACAGATTTCAGTTGGCTATGCTTCAAATGAGACATGGCAGCAATCTGTGCAATTTAGTACCAAAGATGCTGGAACAATAAGGAAGAACAGAACATGCTCATAAAAGGAAACCAGCATGTTGAGAAAGACAATTATGGAAGAGAGACTGTGCAGAACTCAGAAAGGCTCTTCAGAATCTTGAGGTAATTCTAAAACCTGCATGAAATCTTGATCTGGTGCCAAAAACAAATGGAAAACCAACAAATTTGGATACTGGTGAGGATAGCAGTATGGCAGCACTGTGTTAATTCTTCCATGGTCACCATGCTGTGAGAAAATCAGCGCCTTTGTGAAACTGGAGAAGGTGGGAACCTTACCGAGTGCTGCTGCTGTTCTTGTGCTCTGCGAGACACTCGGTGGACTCGAGGATCTTGATAGTGAAGAAGCAACCCACAACTCCCATAATTAACACACGGGGAGAGAAATAGCGGAGGTGGGTAGGTGAGCCTCTTGGACTGTACTGGAATATCTTTTGTCTGTCAAAAAATAAACAAAACAAGAAGAAATGCATTACTAACAGCATACGACAAACAGTAGAATATCCACATTCCAAATGCCTTGGTGAAAAGGAACAGGAAAGAAAAAAACCTCTCTCAGTGTGTGTCACAATGTTCAGTTTATTCTCTCAAGTCTGTTCATGATTAAAAAAATAAATGAAGAAATTTGATCTTTGCCATGACACGTTTTGACACTTTTTATATTAGAATTTTTCTCCTATATATGGCAAGCACATTTCTGGGTGTCTTCTGTCTTCAAGAGTTTTTCATCTCATGCCATAGCTTTCAATAGCTTGAAGTAAACCTACACAGACAGGTACTCATGCAATGAGAAAAAAATCAACTTCTGGTCCTTTGATAATGAACTGAAGTCTGTGGTATTGAGATTTGGTTGAGTCTTATCTCAGGCTGCGTGTCAGTAGAATCAATAGGAATTCGCCAAGGGACAGAACAAGGAGGAATGACAGATGAGTCAGAACTAAATATTTTGACTTCAGAAAATAAACTAATAAATATGCTGCATGACTGTATGACTGTTCCCATATTTAAAGTCCTTCACAAGCTCTGTTTAATCATATCCCACGGCAGAAAGAGACAAACAAGATGAATCCAAGTGTAAGTTCCCACTACCTATCTGCCTCAAAAATTTCCTGTGGAAAGAGGCAAGGCTCAGCCAAGTGCAAAAGGAAGAGTTGTGCAAGGGCAAATATGGAGGAGCCGATGCACTGGAAATTTCACACCCTACCTGGTCCCTCTCATCTGCTCATAGCCACAGATAACATGTGGAATGGATTTTTGTAAGCAACTGCAGCTGATCACACGAGGGGGATAGTATAAAGCTCGGTACCAAGCCTTTTTATGTGGGCAAGCCTCAAGTAATCCTCCACTAGCCTCTGTTTCCTCTAGAACACACCAGTGAGCCACAGGTAATCCCCAGCTACAGCAGATCTGACCTTCTGGCAGGGGGAGAGAGGAAGAAGGAAGGAGTGCACTTGTTCTCCCAGTGTAAAGAACCTGAACCCTTCAGGCTGTCTTGCCATGTGCAATGCCACTAGCTGTTGTGGCTGGCAAGCAAAGGGAGAGGCTAGGCTCTTAAGAAATGGAGATACTCCTCAGTGAGCCCAAGGGCCAGCATTTCAGTTACATCCAGCAATAAGGAACAGGAAAAGAGAGAGTACCTGCTGCTGTAACTGCCTTTCTTGTGGTTCCTTTCCTTTCAGACAGGTCTTCATCTGTGAAGAAATGAAATATTCACCCTAATAAACCAACTCTCTAAAAGCCACATCCAAAGTTGTTCCTGTCATTGCAATGCAGCAACAACCAAGTTTTACACAAACACCATGCAAGCACATGCACCACCCATAGAGTATGTTCACGTGTGCACTGTGGAAACACTTCTTGCTCAGAGAGCTGGGGAGGGTGGAAGAGCCCATGCAGCACTGTTTGTAGTTCCCTATTTTCACAGCATCCACTGACCAGCTGGGGCCATGCAAGTTATGTATTTATGGTCTCCAGACAAAGCAAAAATACATAGGAAGAATGTGTCTGAGTGTGTTCTACCAAAAATAATAATAATAATTACTTTATCAAACCATCCAGGAGTAGGCTGGAGTGGGAGAAATGTAATTAAAATGTGTTTGCATGCAATACTAACAGCTTTGTCCTAGGTCTTTTTGCATGCCTAGGAGGATTTCTTTTTTTTTTTTTTTTCCACACTTGCATGAAGTGCTTTGAAGCACCTATAAAAGCATTCACTAGCCAGAGGCCCTAATACTAATGCTGGCTCATGCCTGGGCTGAGAACAAGGCAATGTTGCAGTTTCTGTTTCACAACAAAGTTGGGGCAGACAAAAAAATCATCACAGAACATTTTGGTAATCAGCCGTTCTTTTAAGCTATTGCACAATTTTGTTGAGAGAGGAAACCTCAGCATTTCATCATTTTTAAATGGGGTTGAGAAAGCTTAAAGTTTTACATGCCATGACTTCGCCTTGGCTTCCTGAATGTCTGTGAACAGAATACTGACACTACTCCGAAGAGATAAAAAGGATGTTGCAATAACAAATTATTCTAGAGGCTGCTCAGCTAATTTGCATGGAGACATTTATTTTTTTTCCTCAGTGATATTAATATTACTCCGTAATTCCAAGACAGAGGTCAGGACACTTTACAGACATTTCTCATTTCAAAAGCTGCTCAATGTCATGACTCTAATATCAAGTGCCAGAAAAACAATCAGGAGCCCTCTGGATTTGTTTTCGATTTTCCTCTCCATTTTAAGATACGTTTGAGGATTTTTTGCAGTAAACACTCCCCTCATCTGCTTAATTTGGAAGTTGTCTCTAATCATTTCTCATCTTCTTAACTCATTACTTCAGAATGATTTCATCCCAGGTGGTGACCTCACATAAAATTCAATGTCAATTAATAGGAGCCAGAAAGCCTTGGGTTGTGTGGAGAGTGAGAAAATAAAAATAAAATACGCATGTGTTGGCAAGAGCATCTTTCTTTTGACTCATACCTGTGAGTTTAGTTTATTCAGTTGAGTCTGTAATCTCTCATTAGCCTTCTGCAATGCTTCTTTCTCCTCATTAAGTCTTTCTCTGTCAGATCTCTCCTTTCTGAAGTCCTCTTCATATATTTGTACCTGCAATCATTATGACCAAGTCTGTGAATTTCAGCAGAGCCACACAGAAATTTTAATCCACTTTTTTTGTGTGTGTGGTTGCTTTTTAAACACTTGTCAACCAGAGGGTTGCATCCGAAAAGGATCCTTACAATCCTGCAACCAAAATACTTTCCCCCATCTTTTTTTTTAAATTAAAAATAGCAAATGAAGAGTCTCCAGTGGCACATACCAACTGAAACAGTCCACAGCTTCATTGTTCATAGACACATGTAATTACTGGGGAATATCCATTTTAAAGACTATAAATAGGATTGCAATGATTAAAGACATGGATATTTTTAGGGAATAAACAGTAGTTTAAAAAAAAAAAAAAAAATCCCTTTTTTCCGTCAATCTTCTTTTCAATTACAAGCCCTTGCAACTCCCCCTTGTACCTCAGTGAGCATCATGGTGGAGGCAAAAGGTGTCGGCATAGCACAAAAAAACAACTTCCAGCACACAGTCCGACATAACATTATCATTTTATCCAACCTATCAATGAACAGCTATGATTAAATAATGTCCTGCCTTTTCCATAGCCATTAAACACCACTGAACACCACATGACAAGATCAGCCTTGTGCCTGTCTTGTTTTACGCCCTGTGGTTTTACTTTATATGTTGCTCTAACCATCTAACATTGGTGCAGATCAAAGGATTAAGCTGCACAGAAATACTGGTACTATTTAGAGCTGTGACCAGAAGACCTGGACAAGTCAGGACCGTCAAGAAGTTTAGACCTTGCCTGAAACACTGTAGGAAGAAATCTGTAGGAGGATGCCTTGCCCTAGAAGCTTGAAAAGGGATGAGAAAAAATAATTGGCCAGTGTACCTTTTGTCTGTGATATGGGACCTCTGATCCCCCCTCTCAAACAGCTGCCCAAAGAACCTACCCATCTCAGCAAAGAGGCAGAGGGGATCATTGACACACAATTCAGAATGCAAACATGGGGATTTGACCCAGTTCCTAGAAGACAAACTGTCTTTTGATACTGAGGAATACAATATCTTTTCTCTTCTTATGTCATATGGGGTCATAGCTCCGCATCCTGTTTAAAAAACATCCAACCTCCCAGGGCACAGACAGCAAACGTATTCAGAAGCAAAATACAAGTCCATAAGTTAATTGATATCAAGCTGGCTGACTTTAGTTCCTCAGCTAATGGACAGACATCCACCTGGTGTGAACTTAGAGGTTGGTGGTACTTCCACAGACAATACAGAAATACAGGAGAAATACATTGGAGTGGGAATGACCATCAGAGTTTCCAGGAGTCCTTTTGTGTCCTTGCAGTTGGCCACTAAAGCCTGCTAACAGTCTACTTGCAGAGTTTCTTTGCTGCAGTTCAAGCTCTGCCCACAGCACAGACCTAGTTTGCTTTTTGCTGGCAGCAGTATTATGACTTCACAGGAAGACTAAAGAAATGTTAATGCCTCAGGGAACAAAAAAAGTCAACATAGGGCTCCATAAATTATTTTCATGACTTGCCTGTTGCAGCTAATTTTTGCAAGGTTTTTAGGGCCCAGAGGCCCCCCACTAGATATAATCCCTTTCCTGAATAACACGGTGTAAAAACGAACAAAGGCTTTCTGTGTGGCCACGTGGAGTCTCAGCTCCACTGCCTGTGGCTGAAGGAGGCATGAGTGCTGTGATCCCCTGAAACAGATGCAAAGCTGTCAGCTACTGATGTGTAGGTTTCTTGTATCCCTGTCCATCTACACACATCTCAGCGTTTCCTCATTTCTTCTTTCCTGCTTTGCTCTCTGCTCTCTCACTTCCCTCTCAGCTGTAGCGATCTGTTGAAGCTGCAAGAGAGCAAACTTTGTCACGGTTTTGTCAATATTCTCTTGCACAGAGAAAGGGAGGGACACCTCCCAAGGAATGAATGCCTTCAACTCGTCTGTAGTGGCCATCTTGGCTGATGACAGCCAAGATCTGGTGAGACTGTCACATCACTTTTCATCCCAAGGATGCCTTTCCCTGTAAAGCTAAAGCCTCCTGCTCCACTCTGTGCAAAAGGAAGTTTGGATTCACTGTACTGATTTATAGAACCAGAAAAATAAATTCATAAAATGGTTACCCCATGAGAATTCTGAAAAAATTTGGTTTACTCTATTTTATTGTGGAGAATGAAATAACTCATTACTGTACAATCAAGTACAGGATTTTATTTTCCAGCATGTGGCAAGCATTACATTAGAGAGCAAACTCTGGCTCTGCTGTCAAACGTGACAGAAACAAGTATTTTATTTCTACTGAATAAAATTTCCATTCTGATCATATCCATTTGTGTGTCAATAATGTTAACCTTAACACTGTCCAGAATGACTGACCTAAACTGCAGAACTATCTGTAAAGTATCATGCTTTAACCAGATTCTTTCATGTGCAGACAGAGAGTGCACAAAGCACTTGAATAGCTTAAAATGAACATTAAAAAAAATAAATACACTTCCCTATAGTCACAGGACTACAAGTTATGGATGCAAATGTTTTGCCTCATACTTTAAAACACTGCAAGACCAGCACTAATGAATTGTTTTGAGAATCCTGGTCTTGGCAAATTAAGCTTTCAACTTCAACAAAATAAGAAACAGAAGACATAAGTGACCAATCCATCAGTAACTGATGAAGTACATCAGTCTCTCTGGATGAATTCAGCCCATAGCAAGAGGCTGCCAGGACAGCTCCAAGAACCACAAACGCCATTTTGTCGCCTGAAGTCCAAGACAAGGCTTTGCTCCAGATCTTTGCAAGGACTCAGTTTCACTTTATGGACTCTGCTGTGATGACAGCATTTTAGGAAAAACCAGTTTCAATAGCGTAGAGCTCCTACAGCTTCCTTCCAAAAGTACTATATAATGAGTCAACTTGACACTGCTCTTGGGAGTGAAGGCAAAACCACATAGCATGAAATTCTGCCAGGCTTTCTCTTAGCCATTCTTACCTGTTGTCTGAGAACTTCAAGTTGGGTTCTCATGTCACCAAAGCTGTTCTTGTCACCAGTCTCTGAAGGAGTCCTAAGAACAGACGAGTTCTTTTTCAACACATCCAGAAGGGCCTGCAGCATAAAACATGACACTTACTACTGAGACTCACCACATCAGAAAAAGTTATTTCAATCCATTATAATGTTTTCTCTTTAAATAAACAGATTAGAGTGAGTCACAGCATTTTCCTTCACTTACAGTTGCTTCAGTTATACACACAATGTTAACTCACTAACAATAACATGTATGCATGCTTAAGTCCAAACTTTCCAAGTGCCCACACTGCATTCATAAATCTGAGACAGCACAGTTCAGAAGACTGTGTTTTTACTTACAACTACAACCAACAAATAACAGTGAACATCATAGCTGCAATTCTCATCCAGAAATGTCATTTTACCTGTGTAAATCAGAATTTGGGAAAACCAAGGGAGGTGTCTAAATTCATCTGGGTCCAAAAACAAACAACCCAAGACTGTATAAAGAAGCATTCCGCCATATCCTCCTATACGTGTAACTATAGTAAAGCCTGATCAAAACACTCTCTGCAGAAGGAGCCCAGACTTCTTCCAACTAGAACCAAAGGGAAAACTCCCTTTGAAAGGAAGTTATGTAATCTCTGTAATTTGTCACTAGAGGGAGTTATGTATACGCACACTGCACAGAATGTTCTTACATGCTATTTTTCAGTCAAATTCTGCTACTTAGAATGTTTTATTTAGTAGTATTCCACAGCAGTCCCTTGGACTGGAATAGTTTTTAAACTACTCTTACCACTTTTTGTCTATAACCACACACTATGCTCATGTATTTGTTTACTGTAGCACAAATACTGCAGTTTCAGTACTTTTCCACGTCTCTCTCAGGACGTATAGACTCGGCTAATTTCATTCATTTCAGAAGGCTCCATTCTTGCTTATGTTCCCCAGCTCCTCATGGCTGGCCACATACTATTCGTGTCTTAAGAGAAGGGGGAAGATCATTTTGGAAGAGGAAGAAGAAATAGGCAGGGAAAAAAAACCAACAGCATATAACGTAACACAAGGATTAGTAGCATTGCGGACTTCATTTTCAATGAAGTACCAAAAGGAGAACAACAACAACAACAACAAAAAAAGCACTTCCTGCAAAGAATGCAGAAGAGAAAAGGGAGGCCTTTCATTTGATGAGCTAGTGTCAAAAGGATACTGCAGAAGATAAATAGGCATATAATAATGGTAAAGTTTGTGTACCATGTCATACGTGAATAAGATTGAACATAGATATGGGAGGATAAAGATACTAATAGCTCACTGGTTGATCTTCCTTTTGTCTATTCTGGCCTCTGCTAATCTTTCTCAGCATATGACACGTCAGCATTCTGCACAAATAGCAAAACAAATAAAAACAAACTTCACATTGGCATTTAGACTGGAAGTTGTTCACTAGCAGCCACAAGGAATGGAAGATAGAATGTATCGTGAGCTGTATGTTGCACAATAAACTAAATCATAAAAGCTTCTTTCATCATAAAAATAAGGACAAAAGTATTATGCAGTGATGCTCTGAGCAAGACTAAAGATCATATTACCCAAGAAGAAGAATAACAGAGACCAGCTCCATACAAGGAACACGTAAAAATGAGGAGGATCTCACGGCTCACTGAGTTAAATTCAGCTTAACTTCGTGCAGTGTCAAATATTGTTCATTCAGAAATACTGAAAACCACAACCTGAAATTGCAAAATTAGCCACACAGAGTTTTCCTGAAATTTTCTATATCAAAAAGGGAAATGTGTGACCAAAAAATATCTAACTTTATTCTCATAGTTATGAGAAGGATAAATAGTCCATGCATCTAGAAATACCTTAATCAAACCAGAATGCATTTTTAGGCCTGGGAATAAATTCTGAAGAGAGTAGTCATAGAGACAAGAGAAAAGGGATGAAGCAAAGCACAGTTTAACCTGATATCTTTCATTAAAAATAAGTAAATAAATAAAAAATACAAAATAAAATACAAGATACAAATAAAAATACAATATAAAAAACACAAAAATTCACAGATTTTCTTAATGGGGAAATACATTCCAGTCTATGGTTGAAAAACATAACTGAGATGGTAATACAGCAAAATTATCCATTAAGTTAGAGAGAAATTGGTCTAATACTTTTACTGTATGGTGAACAGGAAAGTCAATACTGGGACATGGTATTGCAAACTATTCTGGCATTACAGAATCAGTTTCATAATACAAACATCAAAGCAGGATCAGACCAAACCCTGCATCATGGGCTCTCCAGATGACTGGATCAACATGAAGCCCAAAGTAAACGTACTTGGACACAGTACTAATGTCTTCAATAAAAAGGGAACTAAGCAACTGAAATGACTGAGGTGCAAAATCATACATATGAGCAAGTATAGTTGCGTATTAAGAGATCAAAAGAACTGGGTCAGCTTAACTAAACTGTCCTCTAGTGAAAATATGACTGCCCTGTGTAGCTAAATGTAAAAGTAGGGGTAACGGTAGGAGTGAAGGAGATCTGGTACCATAAGAACAAATGAGTATCAATTGGCCAGAATATACTCCTCCCAATTGAAAGAGATGAAGTGTCTAATGAAAACAGAGACAGAGTTCCAGAACAACCTTCCAAAAGGTGCAGTGGAAGGAGTTTCAAGTACTTTTAATACAGAAGTTTGATTAGAATTTGTAAGAACTTCATGTCACTGAAATTGCAATAGCACAGTTTTATATAAATTCACGACATGAGGTGTGAAGGATGCAGTTACACAGGAAATCAGCATCACTCATGTTAGAAAACACATTGCATGAAATTGATGTTTCATTTAAAAGTACACTTTACTCACTTACATCTTAGTTCCAGTAACATTATAAAGTAAGAAAGCAAAACAAAACATTGAAGTGAGCTGTTTTTACAAAAAAAAAAAAAATGAAAGTACAGTAAGGTTTTGAGCAAGTCTTGCTAAAGCATTTCAGAATGAGTTAGAAATCATGAATTCTGTCAGATTTTAATATGACAGCGTTGCTTTTTTACCCTGACTTTTGCAGGTCCTCTAGCTTATGCTGCACTTAAAGACACACAGCAATGGTTACTGCAGTGCATTTCCTCAGGAAGCGTTTGTGGTTCACCATGAAATATAGAATTGTTAGGAAACACCCACTGCTTCACACGATCTTCTGATCAAACTAAGTTACATTTATTACTTTCCCTCCAGTGGAAAATTTAAATAAAAAACAAAAACCAAAAAACCTTGAGTTATATTATGGCAATTTCTTCAAAAATATATACACACGTACACGAGAATATGCATACACATGTGTATATGTAAGCATACAAGAACAGGAGCATCTGTCTTGTAAAGAGAAGCCATTCTCTAACAAAACATATGTAAAACAAGTTTATAAACTAACTTTTTTAAAGCAGTGTTTCATTAGATGCATATGAAAGCCATTTCCTACTTCTCTTCTGTTCTAACAAGGAGAAACCTAGAAAGAGCTTAAGTGTGGTACAAAGGAGTTTCACAGATGAAGCCAGAGATTTTCTTTCTTTAATCTTTGCAGTGCAAACTTTGCTGCCTGCCAAAGCAGCATGCCCAGGTATTTGCTAAATTCAGTTCATGTTTGTTTCCCCAGCTCCCTGAATCAGCCATTTACAGATTAACAGTGATTAGTTTGCTGCCATGAACAGACTGTCCACCCAGGATTGAGAAGATCATCAGGTAGTGTCAGTGCTTGATAGTAGAGGCCCTAGAATTAAAGGGAGAAGTGATTTGCTGACCAGTGCCTCATTTTTGTTCCTACCTTGTTGAGACGACTTATTTCACACTCATAGTGCTCTTGTTTTCTTATCATTGATGCATTCTTCTGCTTCAGGAGCTTGTTTTCTTCCTTCATTTCATGCAGGGCTTCACTGAGGACCTTTGTTTCTTTCTGGGATGCAAAAACACAGAGAAATGCTGTTGAAATGCAGATGGAATCATTTTTCAAGAACAGTTTTCAGAATATCTGCTGTCTGGCAGATGTGCTGAATTTCTGGTGTCCCAAACATAGCTGTGAAGGAAAGCAACAGGAAGACGGGTGGTTAGTAAAACCCAAATATGATAAAGTCTGTTGAAACCATTTTGACCACTCACCATATGATGAGATAGAGGCAAAATAGCAGACTAAATTCTCTACAATCTGCTGTTGCACAAAGGCATGAAAAAGCTGGCAGGCCAAGGCAAACAGTTGCATACAAATGACCATCCCAATCCTGCTTCAGGCTCATCTACCCATACCAGGGATAGAGGCCTATGGAGTCCCAGTCATTCTCAGTATTATGTAACATTGAAGATAAAACCACTTCTCAGTGTTAAATAGTCTGAGGGCTTGAGAAATTAAGGCAAGCCTAACCCTGCTCAAAAATTACCATGCTACCAACGAAAGCTTATAGAAAGTCACTTTTTTAACCCAACACAGTTGTTGGTGCCTTGAACTTGACCCTTCTTGGTATGTCTGTCCACACTGTTTCCTTCAAGTAAGCTACCATGAAGATGTTCCTATTTGCAACAAGGCCTACAGTAGCCTTTCAAGATAGTATCATAGGAATTATTAGGACAGATTTGCCAAATTAAGTTTGATTGCCCTTTTCCTATTGCTTTCAATAATTTTCAGTTTACAGTGAAGGGAGCTAAGATTCAGATCACAGCCTGAAGTAGCTGGTGACATTTAAGATTTCCTCCTTTCTCTCCAAGGGAAAAGCTTCCTTGCTAGCCTGCTTTTATCGCATTGTCTGCTGGTTACATGCATTGAACAGAACTGTCTGTTCTACTAAAAACAAATATTTCAAATATACCTCTGCAGTTGCCTTATGTAATAAAGAAATGAAATCCAACAATCACACACGTGATATTATATGAATGCTCTGTGCAACAGGCATACCTCTGTGCAGCTACGAGGCATTCATGTTTGAGCTCATGAGATATGAATCGCAGTGTACATATCAAGTCATTGAGAAACACCCTTGAGAAACAGCCACTTATGCACGAGGTAGCTTTATTTTTCTTTGTTCCGCATAGGAACTCGGGAGCTTGCTCAAGTTGGTATGCTTGAAGATATTAAAATAAAAAACAATAGCAAAAATTAAATTTCTGATAGGCTTTTATTATATTCTATGCTTCACCATTACCACCCTCTTTCCTTAGCTCCTGGCACACATTCTTCTCCAGGATTGATAGCTTAGAGAACATGGCTATTTGCAAGTAAAGATTTCCAGTTTGTTGAGGTTTTTGAACCATTCACATTCTTCTTATTCAACTCTGAATTTTAGGCGTTCTGGCACCTAGATTTTACCATAAGTCTTTGGTCGCTGCCTATGGCCATATAGTCAAGCCCAAAAGGAGCCAAAAAATGTGCATTTCCAAAAGAATCAGTTTTCCTCTGTGGGCCACAGAGGTCATGGGAACAGATAGCTAAGTTCACAACATTGTCTTTTTGAGACATACTTTCAGATTCATCAAAAAAGGAAACAGCCCTCTAAAACAGCAGTAGTGGATAATCTACCCCGGGACTATTAGCTGCTGCTGGCTTTCCTAAATGGGTCAGGAAAGCATGCAGAGAATGGCTTCTCTGCTGCTACTCTACTATGGCTGTGGGATTAGATAAGCAATTAGAGAGCAAACACCACTCTTCCCTGGCAATAGCTTTCTGCAGCTTCTCCCAGCTCTGTGGCTATGGGATGGGATGTGGAACCTTTGAAAAAGAAACTACTGCTAACTTCTAAGAAATTTTACATGTATATATATATTATTTATATATATATGTATGTATGCATGCATGCATTTAACAAAATATAAATGCTGTTATGAAGAATGTTAGATGCTTTAGAAAAAAATATATAGCCCTACAAATCTAACCTTGGTAAATTTATCAGCCTGGGTCCCTTCAGACTGCTGAACAATAAAGACAAATCTTGTTCATGTGCTTTCAAGCTGAATAACTTTAAGCATTTCTTTGGATCATCCCCTGGAATTCCTTTTACTTCATCTAACCCCATGGGCAGCCTGGGTTGATGTGGGTATTAAAAATCATGTCGCTCATTCAAAATCCACTGCTTTTATCAGCTACATCTGCAAGGGTACAGATCTTCTGCACCCCTGCAGCTCGTCCAGCAGGTAAAGAAATTCAAAGGGAAGAGAAGCACTTTCTGGTTGACTGTACAATTTGTAAAGAAACTGCTGAACTGAGACTGGCACATGTAAGAGGTTTCTGGAGTACAGAGTTATTCTGTTCATTATTTGCGTATGTAGTTAGAAAAATAAAAATATAAATGGAGAGCACACCCTTTTAAAAAGCTAGGTATTTTTCACAGCTATCACATTGTAAAGGGTGGGCAATAAAAACTGTAGTAATACAAGGAAGAAGATGAACTGTCTCACCTTGTCTGCACACTGAGGGTAAACACAGGCAGTGATTCAGCACATTCATAATGGCACAGTTTGCTTTAAAGCCTGGAAATGGTTTGTGGATTTACTTTAGAGGGAACGCTTCAGGGATCTGACTGCCAGTGTGCATCTTTATGCCACTGCCTAAGGACTCCTGAGAGAGGTGCCTGACTATTCTCAGGGTAAGGTGAACGCTTCTCTAGAACAGAGAGCTACAACCGATCAGCCCCATTGCTTTCAGCACTTAATACCTTAATCTTTAAGGGGACCTAAGACAGCTAGTTGTAAACTGTTGACGCTAGCCCACATGTAAAAATATGTATCAAAAAGTGGGGTATGGAGTTCAGTTCATTACTGCCAAGCATTTTAAATAAATCTGCAGCTTTTCCACTGAAAGTCTCTGTAGTACTTTCTTTCACTGAGCACTCAAAGAAATTTACCCTGAAATTAACACTTAGGCAGAACACCTCTGCACTGCGCACATCAATCTGTCCTTTATTCCCACACACAGACTACTGCTGTGCAGTCTGACAATCTTTATGCAAATGACTGTCTCACCACGTAGTTCTCCGATCAGACACTGCCTTGAGTCCGGTACTGAAGAGCCCAACACCACAACTCCATCTACTGGTTGTACAACAACCCACGCCATGCACCTCGCTAGAAGAGAGAAAAGGCAGGACAGCATTCAGCGCTGGGTAAGAGAATGCACCCTCCTACCATTTCCTGTGATGGTGTGTCTCTGTCCAGGATCTGCAACCTCTCCTTCTCTGGAGGATGTCGATGTCTTTCTTCCTCCAGCTCACTGACTCTCTTCTCTGACACGTGCAGTTTTGCTTTCACTTCTGCCAGCTGAAAGGCAAGTAACATACCATGGTGGGCTGCCTGTCCATCCTAAGGGGCTCAGCACACCAAAGGCGCCATGGCACCCCTTCAGCTCTCAGTAGACTGGTGTAAAGGAGTGGGTCTGTTTGGCTGTAAAGTTCCCAATTGCTTATTTCTCCCCCCACCTCCCTGAATCCAAGCTTTGCTGCTCTGTTTGAAGTCTTAATAACTCTGGGCAATTGCTTTCATGGTGCTCAATCAGCTGACTCTTGCACTGATTTTGCTGCCAAAGCACAGCTACTAAGGGGTTGTTCCTCTGTATGAATTCATTTTAATGTTCTTTTCTCTTTTCTCTTTGCAACATGGACCAGGTCTGCTCTAGTACACATCCAAAGCAATGTAGACAGAGGCACAAAAATGTGTTATATTAAATGAGGAAGAGTCATTTGAATTCTCCTCCTTTGGAGGGAGAGGGGGAAGAAAAATCAAGGAAGAAATTATCTGGATCTCAGTAAAACTTACTGGAACATATTAGAGAGAAAATTTTCCTGATAAGTTCATGAGGTCACTCATCCAACTTCCTTCCCATAGAAGGAAATAAGAGATGAGAAGTGTCAGCTTACAAAGAGATTTGGTTTTTGGAGTATCGAAAGAAATTGCTAGCACTCCATTAATAAACCAGAGTGGTAAGTACCATGAAAGGTGGGACAAGAACCAAAAGACACATAGTGATGTGGATCAGTGGCTGGATGCATCAGACACCACAAGTTACTTTTCAGTCATCTGTGCTCTGAAGTGTGCCCTTTTGGAGGATATGATGTTCTCTGCTGTCATGTCCAGCCCGGTTCCCTACTTAGAGAGATGGGCTACTTCTGTACTCTCTTGTTATTTTATCCCACTGAAGATTGTGCATGCATTATCTTTACTTGTATGTGATGAAGTATTTTTACCTATGTAAGCTAAAGACAAAGTAGATATTATGCTTCCTGCCCCCATCCATTCAAAAGATACTCACTACAGATATGCCAGATAGTTTTTAAGCTGAATTAACTAACTAGCAGCAGGTGACATTCATATTCCAATAGAAGTAATCAGCATCGTTACCTGTTTTTCATAAAGCTGTTTCATGGTTCTAAATTGATGATCCCATTGCTTGTTCACCTCCAGAAGCTGTAATGATCAGGAAGTCACCGTAAATAAGTCTTATTTCAACACTGTCAATACATAAAAAAAGACTGGCATTCTGGTACTCAAACTGTGTGTTCACAGTCTCCTTGTTATCTGGCCAGTTCATATCAAAGAAAGCAAATGGAAAGTTTTGCAAGCTTTATGGCCCATCTGTCAGTTATTTGCTATTTCAGTTACAGAACATGAATGTTCAGGAACATTCATGTTCCTGAATAAATTACAATAAATACAATAAATTACAGGTGAATCACTAGCAAGACTGAACAAACCCCCAAGATGCAGTTCCTACATGACCAAGGACTTTTTGTTAGTCTGCTTTAAGTTACATAAATGTATTTGCAATTAGAAGGTCACTGGCTTCAAGAAGTGAACAGAACATGTCTATTAATTGCAATTACTACTGAGTGCAGAGCTTTCTTGCCTTTCTCAGTACCACTAAACTGAAAAATAGCAGGCATGCAAGACAGGGAAGCCTAGCAAACAGCTTTAATGCAAGTATTACAACTGAAATCAGCATGTGTGCATTTTTATTGAAGAAAGCCAAATAGGTCTCAGAAATTTTGATTTTTAGGATACAGGATCGCACTTTGGGATGCTCAGCTAGAAAACAGCTCCCAGTTTGCTGCTACCTGTGAATAAGACTCCATTTGCTAGTACTCATAGTGATTCTTAGGCCTTCACCAAATTAAGAAAATCTGCCCTTTATGACATAAAAATCTTTGCTCTTCTGGATTCATATTTATGTTATAATAGATGATAATTTGATTTTGGAGGCGGTACTCAAAGTATTATACTATAAAGATTATAACTGTAAAGGTAAAGGATAGGTAAATTCAAGATTACCTCTTGTCTCTGTCTTTCCAGTGAGAGGATATGTCGTTCCTGAGAGTTGGCTAATAGAGTCTTCTGTTTGTTTGGTAATCCTTGCTTTGACTGGAGGGAAAAAAGTGCTTAAAATGAATGTTTTCAGCATCCTCTCTTCAAGTCAATATTATCAAATAAAACTCATATCCACCCTGCTACGTGCATGTAAAGAATTTGAAACAGCAACATTTTCTTTCGCTGTATTTGATTTCGGTACCTCAACACTCTCTGGCAGTGGATTCTAAAGTATGCATCTGCTTTAACCCTGCTTGGCCTGTGGTTTACAGCTATTTTGCAAATGGATCCCAAAATAAACAGAATTATGACTATTCACACCATCTCAGATGCAGAACACAAAAAAGGCTTTTAATCATCTTACAGATGGTACTACAAACAAACAGTGCGAGCCAGAGAAGTTGAGCATAAGTTAAAAGTGGGTGCAAGTGATTCCTTCATTTACAAGAACTAGAATATTAAGTAATGTTGCACCCGGTAAGTGTTTGCAGGCCTGGAGCAATAATCTTTAAAACAATGGTTCAAAACAGGCAACACAGAAAATGAATTGGCTATTTGAAGAAATTAGGCAACTCAGTCCAATCTGCGGTTCTTCCATAAATCTCGTACCCATGCAGGACAACAGCAGCTATGTCCTCATTTCTGTAATGGCAATGCCCAATTTAATTTTCAAGAAGCTTCCATGGGTTTTTACAAAGGTATACATGTGATATATATGTATAAGACAATTGGCCTGGGAAAAATGTTCATGTTCATATAAATATACTACATCAGATCAGGGATATTTATCTCTCCCTAGTCTGAATTCTAATCAATAAATGAGCAAAATGTAGAATAAAAGTAGAGCACTTCTGAGATATTATGGCTCCTGAAGTAAATTTATTTTCTTCATTTAGAGAATTTAATGCTAATGCCAATGAAGAAAATTATAGAATATCTCTGTAGATTTTTTTCATAGTACAAATCCTGACCATGTATTTACCCCATGGCCAGTCCTGCTGAATTCTAACATTGGAGCACTTGACTTCAAGAAAACGATTTCTCCCTCTTCCTGTAGAAACTCACCAACATGTTTAAATTAAAGCATCTAAAACAATTACATGTCCATCAATTGAGTTATTCATGCGTTGAATTGTTTTCAATTGTTTTTCAATTCAAACAGCACTTCAGAAGGAGCCAAAACATTCACTTACTTCTGGCAGGTCTGCTGGAGCTTCCATCTCACTCATGTCTGCCCATGTGCTTCCAAGACGGCCTTGAGCATTCGTCTCACAGTGGATCTTTGAAATAAGGGCAATGAAAGATGATGGAAAATGCACAGAAATGCACAGAAACACGAGTGCTGCCTGTGGAAGCAGTGGGGACTGAGCACTAGGTGGTGGAATTTTGATTTTAAGCTTTTCCTCCTTCCTATCTGGGACTTCCCAGAATGGTTCAAGCACACTGCCTATGACTAATGCACCAGGCAAGGCAGCACTGAATGCTCTGTACGTAAATTGCAATTGACCGGACAGTTTGCCCCCGAGAGGAAGTTACATGTGTAAGGGAAAGAAGGGCACATTTTTCTCAGCAAGTAAGACAGCAGGGTTTTCTATCCCTGCTTCCAGGTGTAACAAAGCACTTACGTAAGTACGGTAAATATTAAGTGACAGTAAGACAGCGTGAACTATCACGATAGCTAAAATTAGTGAATCATGCTTAGAAAGGCTGTGATGTTAACAGCTATAAGGAAGAGGACATCCATACAAATACCAGGATGTCAGGGGGAGCATCTTAACTGGAAAACTGATTTACTTTCCTTGAAGAAGGGTGGCACAAAGATGAAGAAGGGCAGCAGATTTTGTTCTCATCAGAAGGACTTGTAGTTTTAGTCAGTAACTCTAAGCATGGTTCTAGAATCAAGGTACTCAAGTCTTAATAGTTTGAACTTATGTCTTAGTTTCCCATTTGGGAAAAGCAGCTGATATTACGAAGTTAAACTCACAGAAAAGATCAACAATGAAAAAAGTTTCCACAGACTTCACATGCAAAGTGAAGAGAAAATATAAAAGCACAAAGCATCACTGTCTCTAGTCTTGGAATTCTGACTGGTTATGAATTCAAGAAGGAAAGATGAAAGAAAAATAGTTTTCCTTATTGTGGATAGATCCCCAGACCTGAAGTCTCTTTTCAGTGAGGACAGAAGTCATTCCATTGCTTGAAAAGCAAATAAACAAAGACTGGCCTGTGAAATGTGACACAGAATAATATAATTCTTCAGGAGATCTTTGAATTTGGAAAACAGCATTAATCAAATTCAGGTAATCCTGTGAATTGGTAGAATTTGCTAGCCACATTCCAGCTTTCTGGTTCATAATGTGTGAATAGGCAAATTCTGTTTTCCAAAATACAAAACCCAATCTGGGAGAGAACTACTGTTTGAAAACATTTGCACATGAAATATATCCTCCCAACTCTGACGTAGTTCTCAAGTCTTCTCTTTTGTGGAGCGGCTGCAAAACTTGTGGGTTATAAAAGAAAGAAGTTAAAAGACACATTTTATTTTAGTAAAGATACTTTAGATTATACATGGAAGCAATTCTACCCATCAAAAAACAAAAGCATTTCATCTGTACATTTGGCAAAACCAGCTTTTGAGTACATATCCCTTCCACGTACAGCACTGGTTTAAAAAAAGGAAAAACTAGGTATGATGAATAACACTGCAGCAATTTCCACAACTGTGGTTCTTGAAATTTCTCCTATAATCCGTATAATGTAATTGATATATGCCAGTAATTTTCAGGCTGCCAAACAAAGTAAATCTCTCCACCATCTAAGCAAAATTTAGTCCAAAGCCAAATTAAGGGAAACAAGAAAGTTATCCTCTGGAAACAGGTTTGTGATAAGGCCAGCTTCTAAAATGAATAAATACACCGCACTACATGAGTAAAGTAGTAATAGTAAAACTGTAAAATGCCCACAGTGAGGTAGGAAGAGGAAGGAAGCATCACACATTTTTAGAACAAGACCCAGTATTGCAATAGCACTGTCAGACATTTATGTCATATCAAAGCTTAGGATTTCGAAGCAAAAGCCTAGGTAATAGCCCTATCATACATGAGGGGAAAGAGACCAACAGCCCTAAAGATAAGGCAGATGGTGGTGTCAGATTGGCGAGTGAATAATATCTCCCTTTCACCCACAGTCTGGGGCTGTCCCAGTCACTTCTGCAGCATCCATTAATTGGGTATCTGTATAATTTTGTGTTCTCACACCCAAGACAGAGGAAAACAATTTTCCAGATTGAAATTGCTGCACATGAATAGTCAAAAGTTAGCTGCTGACTGAGAGAGTAATGTCACTCAACACAAATGACATGAACAGCCACTACCTCTCATCTCCTCATCATGTCCCAGTACCTTCTGGTGTGCCTGCCACAGCCAAACATTATAAACTCATGGAAAAACAACCTGCAAAGTGCCAGGTGAGGTGCTAAGCATTTCCTGCCATGGGGACAGAAGAGCAAACTGAGGGCATAGACCTGCTTGTGAATCACAGCTCCCTCTTGAAAAATGCTGGGGCTCAAATCATTCCAAAGAGAGGGTGAGGCTAAGACCCTGGAGTTCACACGGTTGTTGTTACCACTGATTAATTCAAAACAGTTATGTGGAAAGCTGGGTGGACATTAGGGCCCTAAATCCTTAATTGTTAATACCACAGTGATCTCATTAATGACCACTGAAAGTGATTGGTTATCTCTTAGACTGGAGGATTCAAAGCTTTTCAGAGTCTGCTGTGTTATATTATAGTGCAGGGCTGTGACCTCATGGAGGCTATGGGAAAGCTCATATAATTTTCACTCTTTTAAAGTCGTCTTCTGCCTCAACTAATGAAAATCTGTCCAAAGTTAATATTTTTTTAGTATTATTTTGTGAAAAATGCAGATTTCAGTGGAACAAGAAACATCTTGATGCAAGCAGAAATCTATAGATTTTGCAGCCTGTGCATACATATTAAAAATGTTTCCAATTGTACTTGTACCATCTTACTCTTAGCTATCACTTTCCACTGCAGGGATTTCATTCAATATATGACAGAATAGAAATGACATTAAGTTTTCTTTAGTACATAGCTAGGCAAGCACAGCATTCTTATGGATATAATGCCAGTACCCCTTCAGGCACTGCTTTAAGCCAACTGGCCTTTTAAAAGACATGATAGGAAATCCAACTCGGGCCAAAACCAGCCCAACGCGCTGTTGAAAGGCAATGGTTCTGGTCAGTGGTGCAAGTGGTTTGATGGGAGATGATAGGTGTCTTGGCCCTTCCCTCACAAATGCTCTCCTGCTCCCAATACCACATAAGAACAGTAGTGGGCATTGGAAAGAGAAGTGTCTCTGGAATCTGTAAGAACAGAAGAAAAGCCAGTGAGTAGGGAACAGAAGTTCAGCCCTTCAGATGTACTGATTTTATTCCAGCAAAACTTGGGAGAAGTTGAAGCAAAGTATTTTTCTCTCCTTGAAAACACTTAATGGCTCTGGAAAAAAAGATGAGGGGATGACATTCATCTTCTTTTGCTGAGAGAAAGCTACTAAATTTGTTTATCAGTCTATTGCAATCAATGTAAAACTTAATTACATGATAGCACTGCAGAAATTTGAGATGTATTTATAAAACTCCTTGAAAGAAAGGCTCTTGAGAGCTATGGGACTTTAGGAGTATAAAACAAAACAAAACAAAACCCCAACAAATTTTTAACATATTTACAAGCAGCTTGAAACTGTTGAGTCAAATAAGCTATTGTTGATCGCCTGGAAAATTCTAGTTCAAGACCAGACAGTAAATGCAGTAACAAAGCTAAAACAAAAGCAGAGTGTTTATAGATTCAAGCAATGTTTTAAATACACTGTTCAAATTTGCCAGCCTGCACAATACACTCAGAGCAGTTAAAGAGTTGGGGGTGAAATTTGACTTCATGCAACACAGCCACAAGAAGCTCAGAGGCAGCAGAAAATGACAGCTGAAGAGGGGGTCTGCAAAGTGTAAACAGATCTGCACAAAATACTGTGAGAGTAAATTTTGGAGGCTGCCCGAGCAACTCTCACAGTAAGGACTGGAATAGGACTTCAGACACGGACAGGACATCAGGCCACATACACATGGGCAACAGCGTGCAAATCAGCACTCTGTGTAGCACTGCAGTAAAGGGCTTGCAGAGAAAACAAGTCCCTTGGAATAGAGACTAACAAAAATCAGATTTTACTGTGGCGAAATCATTTGTACTCAGCCACTGACATGCAAAAACTTAATTCACTAAATGTGACATAACAGCAGTAACAAACTGGTCAGCAAGTGCAACAAATCCCTGTCTAATGCTTACACAAACCTTAATTTCCCTATTTCTTCTCTCCCTCTGAAGTTTTTGTCATGCCCTTTACTGGCTACACTTTAAAAACCTCCAGTAAGCAGGCTGCAGGGAATAGTCTGTGAGTGCAGAAGTCCAAATTTAGTAACCTCTTACAGTATTACTACCTCTGACTTCTCCACATATGCACAAATCCATGTCTCCATCCACAACAGTCAGCGTCATGTTACTTCTTACAACCTCCCTACAGTATGCCACACAGGCCTTTATCTAGCCAGGTTGATTGACAGGTTCTAGAGAAAGAACTTCCTCTAGAATTGCGTGCTTCTTTCACCTGTTTCACCCTTTCCTTCTATACCCACTCTTTCCAGAAAGTCAGTCCCTTTGCACATTTCTTACACCTGACCCACATAAGAAAACAAAATGTCACTATTCCTGCTGCTGGGCTGAGACCGAATACAAATAATCTTTTCCTTACATTTAAATATAGTTCAAGAAAATATGGAAAACAGAATTGGTGCAGATTTTGCTCTTCAAAACAGTCAGTGCAGTGCTGTGGCTTAAGAATTGGGTGCAAGAATGGTCATTTTCTTTCTGCAGAGAGCTGGTAGTTTCCCCTCTGCCTATGCATATAGTAGGAATGCTTTCTTCATGCCCACACATGCCATTCTGCTTCTTGAATCCCGCCCCCCCCTCCCCCACTATAACTCCCTTAAAATGACAGACCAGAACACGATGAAACATACTAAGAAAACAAAGTAGTGAGGGAACCTCCCCCTGCAGGGTGCTTGAGTAAGCCTGAAACCTTCTGTAAGGTCAGTGAATCATAATTTAAAATGTTTATGTTCTCCGAATCAGCAAGAATTCTTAGTAAGACCTTTGCCCTTCTTTCTCCCTCCCTTCACACTCCTTTTCTCCTCTCCATCCACACCCATGTGCTTATCCTTGGCACTTACGAATATTGTCTGTGCTACAAGCAATGGCAACAACCACAACTGGCCCTCTATTCCTCAAAAACCACTTAGCAGCCCTGATGAATGTGATAGCCAGCGCTCGTCTCATCTCCATGTTAGGTCACAGCTGCCTTATTTTAAGAGCTAAGGGGAATGGGGAAAGGGTATTTCCCCATTCTCAGAGGCTTCAGAGCACAGCTGCCAGGAATGGCTGGCAGTGAGGTGGAAGCCAGAAGCTCCTGCAAACTAACAGCTGTGTGGAGCAGGAATAATCCTGCTATCTACCATATGTGGAAAAAGCTTCCCAGTGACCAAATGGGGTGGGCAGAATCTGCTGACCCCCAGAGTTACAGAAAGGGCTGATCTGCTCAGGAGTCCTCTACTAATGACTATTCTGTTTCTAGGAAATGATGTACTTTCTGTTATTAACAGCCTTAAGGCATCTTCCTCACCCCCATTTTGAATTAAGGATTATTTGTAGTTTTTATTCTAGCAACATTCAACATTTCTGATTATAAAAGCCTTTTAGTCATCAGTAGGAATCTTGCAACAAGATTTAAATAGGAACCTTGGAACTCTGGCCAATGCTGAGTCCTCTTGAAAGCATCAGCACTAGAAGAAGTTAGAAGTTCTCATTTTTGGAGAGTGCTGGATCTTTATTCTGGGAAAAGTATTACAAAATAGGCACACAAATTAAGGTAATGAAAGCCTCGTCACTTCTGAAAACTCTGTTCAGTCACTGCAGTGAAACCAAAAACCATTAAATTGCTCCAGTCAAGCTAAAGCAAACCTTCCCTTGACTGTAAGAAAACAGTAAAATTATCTCTCTTTTTTCCTTCCTACTCTATCAATCAGATATATGCTGAGATTCTTTTAAATTGTACTGCTTCAGAATGGTAGACGTGACATTTACTTTAAGATGAACTTTGGCTAAAATTTGGTGGCTTCTGAGAAATCTTCTGTTTGCTTACGTTTGGGTCAAGCTTTTCTTTTGTATCTGAATCACTTCTAAAAGCATTCTGACATCTTCTACTCTGCTTTGGGCAAAACTGTCTAAAATAAATGCTTTATTCTGGAAGCTGTTACTTAATCAGCAACGTTTGGCACATTATTGCAACCCTTTTGCAGCCCTTTTTCCTCCATTCTCGTGCACATAATGAAAGGATAGAAATTAAGGAATTTTAGTTGAAGAATAAAATTGGCTCTTAAACCAGAAGAATCTCTTCCTGTCTCAAGCTGGTCCATGTGCTTCACCAGGAGAAATGCACTAGAAAGGGATTTTCCCTTAAATAAGCATGTCAGCCTCAACATTTTTCATTATTCAGATAGGTACTCCCTCTAACACTTGTAGATTCATATAAGTTCCCTAATGCACAGGAAACAAAATTAGAGTAAGATGTGTCTTCAGAGCAAGCAAAACACAGAAGCACAGGCTTCTGTTTTAGAATAGAATAAAAGGATCTCCTTTTATTCACTATTTTCTGTCATCAGCAGTGAGGCTAACCACACAGGCACGGCTACTCAGGTACCTAAGCATTTGCAAACTCAGTTCTAAAGGTGAAAATGCCAATTTCATGATACAACAATTGGTTAATAATTTTTCCCTGTAGCAAGTAGACCATTTTGACGTTTAAAACAAAGTTGCTACAAGTGTGGAGAGTCTTTACATTAAACTTTTTCTGACTTTCCACTCAAAAGAATTCAGATGCTTTAGCAGTTTAATTCTCCTGTATTACAATATATTTCATGGAATCAGTTCATCTGACATTACTGGAGCCTCACTCACTTGAAGTCAGTAACCAGCCTAGTGAAAATCTCTTTGACTTATAAGTACAAAGAATAAACAGCCAATGTATTGCTACCGTGAAAATATCATAAAACTTTGTTCTTTAAGCTACATGAGTGGGAAAAGAGTCACAAGTGGGAAAAGGTCCTATAAATGCAAAAAGTATAAAAATACGACAGATGGAATGTTGCCACAGTGTTCTGAGTGAAGCACTGAAGCACCCCATAGAAGTGATTGAAGTGAGTGCAACCACTTTTTTTTCTCCCTCACACCCCATAAATCCTTTCCTGCATCTCCTTCTGTCACAGAGAATAACATGGGAGCTATGCATTCCCACAGAGCAGCTGTGCATACTGTTCAGACCAGCAGTTCCACAGCCTGATTACTACTCAGTTTGGTACTGACTTCTGCTTTACCTTCTTGTTCCAGCCCTGGACTGGGAATCCCCATTTCTCCATGTAGTTTCTCTCTCTCTCTGTTTCTAATCCCACTGGCCCAATGCTGCAGCATCTCCTCAGGCTTAGCCCTGGTGCATGCCCCAAAGTCATGAGTCATTTTGGAAATAGCAGTTCACATGTGAAAAGAGCTGTGTGTAATTCTGTATTTCATAGAAGAGTTATCTCTCCTTCACCTCCTCGTGAAGTTCCTGTATCACACCAAGAGGAACTGCCTTCAGAGATCTCTTTTTCCTCCTGGCACACCTGCACCGGTGGGTAAGCATGCCATCCCTCCCTCCAGCAGAGCACTGGCATTCACACCTTCAGCACTGCTCTCCTTCACACCTACCTCTCCTTCCTTTCCCAGTTAGCAGAAAGCAGGGATTTCCTTTTCTACTCCTCCTGAATGGTAAAAGCAGCTTGCTGTTCAAGGGGAGAGGAAGGAAACATGTTTGCCCTGTTTGTTACCTGCTGCTTCAGCTACAAGCAGCAAAGACTGCTCTGGCAGGTGGCTTTACGTTTCTGTTTATAAAATCACAGAAATGCAGGTTTAAATAATCATTTTCCCTCTTCAGCATCTTCTTCCTGTTTATCTAAATGCCTTTGATCCTCCCAGAGCTCTCTCTTCCTCACATCTCTTTGCATTCTCGGTTAAATCAGAGCTACCAATCACAACAACTAAAAGGGATATCAGTGCTCTGCATGCACGAGGTCTCATGGATCCATGATACCAAAGAGGTACAGCTGGCTACACGGGATGGCTCTTCACAGAACCAGCAGCTATAGCTGACCTTCTAAAACATGAAAAGCACCTTCTCATTTTAACTTCTTCATTGCACAAAGTAGCAGTATCAGAAAAAAAAAAATACAGAGTGTGTTCAGTGCATCATTTCAGAAATCAAGCAGTTTCCTGCATAACCAACGCAGGGAACGTGCCTGGAACGTTCTGCTCTCACAGATAACAATTGCGAAAGTGTGTTTACCTTAGGGGAACATGAAGTCCTCTGGTGGTTCAGACTCCCTTGGGCAATAAGTTCAGAGTCCTCACACGACTTGGAAACACCACTCCTCTCTATCAGGTTCCTTATTTCAACATCAAGCTCTTTACTTTCACACCTGCTTAAAAAGAAATTGCAGAAAGACTTAAAGCACAGAGAAGGGAGATCTGTCTGTTGTCTTCTGAACATGAAAACAGACAGAGCAGAGCCACAAGCTCCTGCTGCCTTCCTTCCAGGAATACAGTCAGAGAGCACTCGGGCAGCCTCACACATGTTGTGCTTTGTGACAGAAATTCATGCAAAATAGTTAAGCCAGTGCTCTTGACCAATTGTATTACTTTGTATATAGAAAAACCAAGCAAGCCCTCCTGGGTGCTGTCTGAATGCTACCATGCACCCTCACCCCCACCTCCAGCTGCAAGAATGTTAAAATATAGCGCAAGTGTTCTCAAAATTGTTAAAATTGGATTTGAATTCCAAAACCAAATCTTCAGGTGTTTTTTTGTTTTTTTTTTTTTTTTTTTAATTGCACACTTTGTTTTCTGTAATACTTCATAATAAATTCCCAACAGGCACTTTCATTCCCTCCCCTCCTGTTCCCTGTCTCCCCCCCCCCCCCAAATGTAACTTGCAAAAAATAGGACAAAAAAGATCTGTTCTTAATGCAAAAATATTTGTGGGAAAATCGTTCTCTTTCAGTCTCTACTAAGGACACTCAGGACTTAAGTCCTGAGAGCTAGCAATTAGGGTTGCAGTGGTGGAACACAACTTCCAGAGGACTGACCTGGCCATAAGCAAAAGCAGACACCCCCAAAAACCTACCTCCAAGCCAAGCTTTCGGGACATATTTTCTTCATTTCCTGAGCAGATTAAACCAACTCTAAATGTATGTAATCACAAAATGGGTTGGGTTGGAACGGACCTCAAAGATCATCTAGTTCCAACCCCCAGCCATGATGGGCTGGTCATCCCCTACCAGCTCAGGCTGCCCAGGGCCCCATCCAGCCTGGCCTTGAACACCTCCAGGGATGGGGCATCCACAACCTTTCTGGTTAGCCTGTTCCAGCACCTCATCAGCCTCTCTGTGAAAAACTTCCTCCAGTATCTAACCTAAATCTCTCCTCCTTTAGTTTTAAACCATTTTCCCTTGTCCTATCACTATCTCACTATGCATAAAGTTCATTTCCCTCCTCTTTATAATCCAGCCTCTTCAAACTGTCTTACTTTTGTAGAGCCACAGCGTGGAGGAAGAAAAAAAAAAAACAAATGTAATGTCAGGATATTTGGGTGTAATTTGAGAGCTAGACTTCCACAGTAGGCAATTAGACTTTTGCACAGGGAACAGAACCACAATATTTCATTTCAATCATGGAACATTCTCTTTCACTAGAACACATCACATGACTTTTCTCTTATACAGAAAGATATTTCCTTGTACTGACTTCTTTGTTGTTTGTATTAAACCAATACGGTAGCTAGAGTGAGTTCAAAGGAAGAGACTACCCGACAGAAAAGAGTCCCTGCATTTTGTTAGACCGCTTGGAAAGGGAATTGTGGCCAGCTAAAGTCACAATGAACAAAAGGAGGGCTTTCTTGGCACACATTTTCATAAGCTGCTCCAAATGCCTGCGGTTTTCAAAGTCTCCCTGCTGCATGGGTGGCACAGCCAGCCCTGGCGACATGGGCACATGAGCTGGCTTTGTGAGCAAAGTCAGCTCCACAGAGCAAGCACACAACCTGGCACTCCTTAGCTTCCCTTCCACTTCTGGTCTGAGGAGATGTGCAGGGCTTTTGGTGCTCACAGGGAAGGACCCACAAAGCCTTGTCAGCACAAACGCATGTAAATCAAGAAGAAAACCTCAGGAGGAAAACAAGGAACCTGGAGAAAGAAAACCAGCCCTTTTCTGTACTGCTAAAAAGTTGCAAAATCCCAGATAGCAGTGCAAGTGGCATTTTTCTCCTTTTTAAGCAACTGTTTGCTAAGCTTCTCAGACAATAAGCTCAGGGGTGGTGGCACAACCAACAGTTCTCTTTGGAGGCTTTGCTTTCAAGCAGCTACACAAAACCAGCTCTGGCCATCAGTACCCCCCTTTCATCTAAGCGCACCTCCCTGAAAAACAGCAGCTTCAACTCATTAGGAATTCCACACCTGGCCTAACACGGGACTTGCTTTATCTAAGAGCTTGGATTTATGCCATGCAGAGGGCTGAGTGCACTTAAGGGTGCTTGAGAGAACTGAGAAATTATGGCATTGAAGCAAACACTCATGGTGCAGTTTTAGGAAAAATGCATTATATGATATTTACATAAAAGGGGAGAAATTGCTATTATAGCCTCCTCAGAAGCCCTAACAATGTGGGAAGAGTTGAGAAGAGGTTAAGTACAGTGAAGGGAAATGTAACTGAGCAGCACTGAGGGATTTAGGACAGCTGTTAAAACCACTGACCAACACTTTCAGGCTGAGCTGTCAGAACTTCTGTTTCTATTCTGTGCTTGGACAACCAAATGAAGGTGAGAGCTGCTCTCCTTTGTTGCTCCACTTAGCTTACAGAGCTGAGAGAAAAAACCTCTTGCCTATATGTAGCTTCTCGCAAAGACTGTTCTGCTCGTTGCCCAGGGTTGCAGTCACATGCACATCACTTTTCACCTCTCATAACCACTCTGCTGCAAATGGCCACCCTTCACTGCTGGCGCAACCCACCTCTCTGGCTGGGTCAGTGCAGTCAGTGTTTCCTTCAAGTGAAATAAAGCAACTCAGAATAAAACAACTGCTAAAAGGCAAAGGGCAATTTCCAGGGGCAGCTCCAAAGAAACCAAAAGAGGAGCAGCCTGGCAGCAGTGTGCACTGAGGTAGGCTGCACGCATCTCCGCTGCTCAGCAACAGCAAGAGATGTCTGACCACAGCCTCCTGAGATCAGAGCATGAATAGACCTGGGAAATCCCCTGTAAAGATGGGGATTGGCTTTAAGTACTTCTTCTCAGTCAGGAAGCTCACATCACTCTGCTCTGTTTCCTGCAGCTTGCCTGACAGAGTGCTGTTCCTGATACTTCCTGCAATTCCCTTTCTCACTCTGCATTCTCCTTCTTAGGCTTAGCAGAGTCTAGGCAAGAGAAGGATTAAGATCCAGCAATGCCAGTGAAAAAGGCTGGGAAAGACTCAAACCCTTGCAAATGTTGCTGCTCTGTAATATCCATGTGTTTCAACACCACCATGAAAGTTAGAAAACTATTTCTTTGGATGTGTTTCTCAGTGCACTTATTTCTCCTCTCAACCTTTAAACTAGGATATTTTGACCAGAAACTATCCCTCTGTTTATGTGCATTTCAAAAGATCACTAGCCACTTCAGTACTTGGAAGGGTATATTTATCATGAATTATGTAAAATGTTAATTAACCATATCTGTGACGTAGATGCATTTTACAGACCATACTTTCAGAGCACACAGATGACCAAAGTGTTTGAATACCTCTCCAAGACATGATTAGAAGTGCCACAGCACAAGGCAGCTTTGGATGATAACATGAGCTTCCCTTGGTGAGCAGCAGAGGGCACACAGCACATAGCTGCCACAGAAAGCAATTCTTCCTCAACTACTTTTGGTATCGCGGAGTTTGCAGGCATATCTGTGCACCATTAGCATCTTTATTACGTTACATCACTATCAACATTTCCTAAAGTTGGGTATTTTGTTTTTCATTAATAATGTTTCCTGTAAGGAGAGAAAATAGACAATCCACTAGAAGAACAAAAAAACAGAACAGAAATTCAAATTTTAGAGATGCATGTTGTGTAAAATCAGTCATCATAGAATCATAAAATCACCAAGGCTGGAAAAGACCTCCAAGATCACTCAGTTCAGCTGTCTACCTATCACCAATATTTCCCTACTAAACCATGTCCCTCAGTACCACAACTAAACGTTTCTTGAACACCTCCAGGGACAGTGACTCAACCACCTTCTTGGGCAGCCCATTGGAAAATGTTAAAAATATTTTCATGCTGCAGTAGAGGGCAAAGTATATCTCTTCTGGGTATAAAAGCTTTCTGAAATGTAAAAATAGGAAGATAAAAAATATAAAACCTATCCCATTTACATGGCATGTTACGGTTAAAGAAGACAATAATAAGGTATTATGGTAAATCCTCTCTGTAAATTGTGAGTTACGTGCTCAATTTTGTTTGATGGGAAAATTAAAACATTTGAGATGGAAGCAGCACTGACAGATATACAAAGCCAGGTGGTGGCTCACTGTAAGTTTTAGCAGCTTACAGGAGAAAAGGAGAGAGCACAACCTTACTCATAATTTCCATGTCACGAACACATGAAGTAGTAGTCAATATCCTTCCAGGTGTGATCTCCAAAAACAAGAAATTCCTCAGATGTGTTTTCTTCCTTTTGAAAGTTACCATCTCCATGCAGAATTTCACTGCTAGAGCTGTGTAACAAAGATGTTTTCATTCCCCCTTTGTATTCCCTTACTGTCTTAAAATGTTTTTCTCTTTTTGCTTCATGACGTATCTTTATGCTATTTTAAATCCAGGACTTAAATGCCTTTTGTGGTTAATTTCTTATAAATTGCTGCATACTTTTTATAGCGACTCAGTTTCTCAGCTGAGAGTCAGAATAAAAATGTGACCAACACATGCTTTGTCTGTGACTGGAACTAAAATTCCTAGCTAGATCAGAGCCATTCAATCAAATAAACTATTCAATTATATCCTCAAAGAGTTATGCTATGAAGTGCTGGTTATGCATGCACAGTTTTATTAAATTATGCATGTAGTATAATCAGAGCAAAGTTTTGGCCTAAAACTATACTAAAGTTGGAAAGTTATGGCAGCAGAAAGGAAACATGAGGTGTGGAAATGAACAGCTAATAGAGTCAAGTGCACTTCTTTGTAGTCAAGCTTCTTCTCGTCAAAAGAAGCAGCACAACTCCTCATTAACTCCCATTTCTCTAATGGAGTAGCAGCCATACCCAGCTCCTGATGGCCTGCTCTATGGTCATTTCATGAGCCATCTTGCAATAGATTGCATAGATTCATAGCTAAGAAATACATACTTTATTCAAATAGTTGGGCATGAATCCTGGGAAGAGTCCCAGTGTTGCTGCTGGTACCTTTTGTGAGCTCGTCTCTCCCTGGTTTTCACTGCGAAAGACTAGGTAGTATTATTGTCTTTTCCAGTGTTATTATATGCTAACGTTATTAGTATTATTAGTTACTAATGGCTACGTGGAAACGGTGACATAAATACAATGAGTCTCAGGGAATAAACTGCAAAATTCTGAATTGACTGTTTGATTATTTGACCAGAATTATGCGTTCTTTCATTAAATTAACTATATAACTATTTGTAATAATAATTTATAGGTTGGTGTGCTGGGGTCATTCTCCTGTATTGGCAAAAGCAAAAATAAACACCATAAGCAGTTGTGAGAAAAGTTTTTAAGCCAGGATTTACAGCCAGACACCAACAGCACAGAGCCCTATTTTGATGGGAAATGAATTCCAGAGTGTAGGGGTTAAACACGTGCTATATCCCCTTGGGTGGGCATTTCAGACATTTTTGCAACCAAGTCTAGAGAGCTGATCCTTAGAAAGATGTAAACATCTGAATTACGAAGGACAAACTGGTTCTGATAAGTTAAAATTGGCAGCAAATTTCAAGGCAAACAATTTCAACTAATATTTCCCCTATTTTTGATACAGTGCTTAATTTCATTCAGGAAAATGCTTTTAGAATTTGGACAAGAAAAGACCTGCTTACAGAATTTCTAATCTAGTGTGGGTTAGAAATATTTGAAACAAGGATAACATCAGGCATATACTTCTTCACAATGACAGTTTATCCATAGAACTATGCTATTATCTTATGTTCTGCAATTTTGAAAGCTTTTTGTTCTCTTAATTCAGTTTTGTATAATAATTTCTAGGCTTTTTTCCATGCACATATCTTAAGATTTTTATATTAAAATCTTACCCACCCAAGACTAAATGACAAAGAATTGCCAACCTAATAAACAACAGAGAGAAAAATCTTTCGCCAAGAAAACGACTTTTGCTATAGAACTGGGTGTGTTTTTCATTATTGTTGTTTTTGTTCTCTTTCATAACCTCATGAACTCTTAGAGCTTTAGTAAGCCATTAGCAAACCATGGGTTCCTGAGCTGATAAACAATAGTTACAATGTAGTGCAGCTCCCTAAGAATCAGCGGTGCTATTTCAGTACTCAACACCCAGCAAGCAGATCTCCACTTGGAGCTTAGGGCTGGGAATCCAAGCCCCATCTCCTGGGATGGAACTGCACGCATTCTGCATTTCTCTTCTCACACACCACCATAAGAGACATCTATTAGACATGAAGCGCTCTGCACCAGTGCAAGCGCGCAGAAAGAACCTGCCTTTGTTGACTGTGAGGATATAAATAAACAAGAAAGAGGGAGAGAAAAGGAACAACAAAGTTCATCTGGTATTTCAAAAGTGTAGCTTTTGCTATGCCTGGAAAGCCAGGCACCAGCAGCAGCTGAGCTCCACCTCACAGAACTGTACTGTCTTTAGAGTGAGAGGTCCCAGATGCTGGGAAAAAGGGGCTGGCACTGGTACTTGGGAGCTAAGTACAAGATTATACCTAATCTTGCTCCACTCCCAAGTAGAGAGCTCCACAAGGCAAGCTGTATGATATGGATTATAACGAGTGTGTACACTGAGACTACAGCAGAGAAACCACTTAAACTTTCGCTCAAATGCGATTCAGCCAAAACATCTGCCTGTCACCCCATAAACGTCCCTACACTTCTGTTCCCTTTACGACAAAGGAATGGAGCTTTTAAGGAACATTTAATAGCCAGCAGCTGTTTGGCTGTCAAATGCCACATCTGGAGAAGCTGTGCCATAAATGTGAACAGAAACAATTATTCTTTAATAGTTTTGCTTAATTTTAAGAATTACACAAATCACAACAACAAAAGAGGTGCATGTTCTCAATGGAAACACATCTGGTTTCTCTGAAAAGAAGCCAAAAAATTGGTCTGGTGATTAACTGAAGCTGCTCACGTAATCTGTCCCTCCTCAATGAAGAGAGAAGCAAAGCTACCGATATGCAGGCACTCCGTATTTTCCAGTGGTTGGCTGTTCCCTTCCCAAATATGGGACATGCGAGAAGACAACAGCTAAACTGGTTGCATCATTCCCCTTTTACTAGGATCTTCTCCTTAATTACAATATCAAAACCGTAATTCAAGTTCTTCACAATGGACAGAATTTGGGAGAAATTCAAACCCCTGTGAAGTCATGGACTGAGTTTCACTAAGTTTGTCAGGTTTCACGCAAGCCTCGAGTGACAGAAGACCCCAGGAGAAGCAGCACATGGAGCACTGTCACCCAGACTCCCCTCGCAGGGCTCATGCAGCTGTGTGTGGACCATGGGGGGGGAAGGGAGAGGGAATTGAAAGGGAATTGAAGTTTTTCTCTGAAAATCACCCGAAGCAGAAAGCTCAGCCAAGTGTGTGCTTTCTGAGTAGATCAACTCCTTACTCTGCTGAAACTCACACCTGCAGAAAGCTGGTGGGAGACAGCAGGAAAGTGTTGAGAGTCGAAAACTAAGAGTTAACAACAAAAAGGGAGAAAAATCTACAGCAGAGCAAAAATTAATGTTTTCAGTGCTCTCTTTCTGTGAAGACCAATAGCAGGAAAAGCTGGAGCCCCTGTTAGGGCACATTCCTGGCCTCGGCAGGCACCTTTTTGAAACAGTTACCCTCCAGCAGTACTTTCTGCACTGCCTGCTTGCTCCACAGCCACACCATAAGCACCAGGTGTACATTCAGGCCTCACAGGCACACATTTCCCTGGAAAACTGTCACCCTGGTGCAATTGTATGGATGATGATTTTAACTGGTGTTTTACACCTCTGCTCTCTCTCTTCCTCAATCAGGCATCACTGCAAACCAAACAAGACCTACGCGCTGCCTGTTCTGCCTCCTAGCTCACCCTCAGTCAGGATGTAGATGCATCACCAAAACCCTCACTAATCAGGGCACCTTTGGAGCAAAACAGGCCCAGGATTCATTTGGGTCAGTTTCTCCCCCATAGATCTTATGTATTTCCTATTGTCTACTAACAATGCAAGCAAAATAAACAGAGCACCACTTGGAATTTCAGCAGGAAATTAACTTACAGTAGCTGAGGAGGATAATCAGCTCTGTTGACTCAAGTCAACTTCTTGCCTGTGGTAGCTGTTAGGCAGCCAAATGAAACACAGAGGAAGCTCATTGCACAGCTGTCTGTGTCACAGATCCAGTGCTTGAACTGCCAGCACCTGGCATCTGCTTTCACCAGGGATGCCACTGTCTGAAAGGAATCTGACATATCCCTGCCATCGCAGATGGATTAAAGTCAAACTACATTAGCAGTAGCACACAGTGTCTTCAGCAAATGGGAAATCCCAAGCAATTTCAAAATCCACTTATTTCACAAACTAACTTGAAGAAAAAAGTGTTTCTTTCCAGAAGAAAAGATGGATACAGGACTATGTATTTCCTAAACGTTACAAAAACATCTACACTTTCCTTTCATTTTGCTTATTTTCCTCTCTCACACTTGCATGTTACGATTAAAAGGTAGCTTTAAAAGGTATTAATCATCCTCAACTACCTGAAATATTTATTATCATCATTATTGTCAGAGCTTACCTTACCGGTTACAGCTATTCATTTAAATTCTCAGCACTATTTGTTTTCTTTAATCTCCTAATGACTCACTGAATCTTAGAAATGGGTTGTCATCATCACAGCCTCACTCTTAACCATACTGTGACCTCCTTATCTGAATGAAGTATCTCTCCATCCTACCGTACAACCTCTTTTCCTGCCATTATCAGTAGAACTAGTTTTACTTCACAAAGAAGCAAGCAGACCCAAGAAGCCACAAAATCTCTGTAGTCAGAAATACTAAAAACTCGCCTAGATAGTCTCTAAGCCATCTGATCAGACTAAATCCACTGGTCCAGACAATATTGAAGTCATTTCCAACCTACACTATTTTATGATTCTTTCAGTACATAATATGCCCATGTTTTACTCGTTTAAACAGAAATGACACAGATCTCCACTGGACAGATTAATGTGGGAAAAAATTATTGTATTAGGCTGAGTTTCTGAAAGAAAAATAGACTGACAAATGCAGGAAAAGCTTGATTATACAGTTCTAGTAGCATAATACAAATGACAAAAAGTAAAAAATAAAAATAAAATAAAAGGAGAAGTTTCTCCACAAGAAAAATAAAGATATGAAACTGGTCATACCTTTCCATCTCAACATGCTGATGGGAACACAATTCTAGAAGATTTTCTGCCTCTTTATTCTTCCTTTTGAACTTTTCACAGTGAATCTATTAGGGAGAAGGGAAAAAAAAAAAAAAAAAGAGTGTATTCAGAGTGGAAATAAATAGGTTAATAATCTCAGAAGAAATTCAATTGTCCGATCACAAGAAGATATAATCATGCATTGTCTGCATTCCTGTTTTCTCTTTCCATCCCATAAAGAGCTGACGTAGGCCAGGAATCTACTTTCTCCTAGCTCACCATTATAATCTCTTAAATCCATCATTGTAACAGGAGCAGTTTTGCAACAGCAGAAGCAACAGCATTCTCCAGCCGTGGTAGCGGGTATCTCCCAAGAAGCAAAGCTGCCAGTACTCACGCAAATACTGGAAATGATGGGAAAGGTATTTTTGCGACTATTATTATTCATCCTAAAGTAATCAATTGTTTTAAATGCTTGGAGTTCATGTATATCCTCAGATTAACCAGAAAATTAACATTTCATGGAAGTATAAAGTAAAACTACTACTCTCAAGCTTAAGAGGGGCCTGATATAAATAACTTGGAGAGAAAAGAGTAGGAGCCTTGCTTAAGTTAATGTGCACAAATGCACTGTTCACAAACTATACAAGCTTCCATAAGCTTCCTTCTGGTCAGGGCTAGCTGCTGTCTAGCATTGTATTTCCAATGAGAAGAAAAAACATTGTTCCCAGAGGAAAGGACAGATATTGGAAGTACAATCACCTCTCCATTACAAATGAGAGAACAGATAGTACAGAGGGACCAAGTCATGCCACCTCATCCCTAGAAGTCATCCCAGTGCCTGTACTGCAGGCCAACATCATCCCAGAATATGTTTCTTCATGGTATGTGGGACACCTCTATTTCACCAGGAAAGGAGTTCATGAGTCTTATTCTTTTCTTTAGGAGAAAGTGACAGAAGAATAGCATTACTGTAGTTGTAATTGGAATACTAGGGGATTAGATTTTATCTTGGCTCTATGACCACCAGAGGTCCCTTCCAACGCCTGCAAATCTGTGACTATAATACTTGGCATTTAGGTGTTTAATAAGATACCAATTTTGAAAAAATGTTGACCTGGAATAAACAGTCCCAACAAAAAGTAAAATGAACATGCACAAACAAACAAACAAACTAGTGTCATAATTCAAACTACCATTCCTTCCTTAATTCATTCTTTGGACTTAGATATTTCAATTCTCAGATCCACATGCAAAGTTAGACACAGTAGGACAGCCCACATACTAAAGAAATATGCCATGTTAAAGAGATAAAAGTTAAAAGTTACTGACCAATGTTGGTAAAATGTATGCAGCAGAAAGTAAAGCATGTTTGGGGGTGTGGGCAGAAGGAATGAAGAACAAAGAAAAAGATTGTTGCATGATTTTGCAGTGACAGACCTGTTCATCTAAACAGCAGAGGCTCTGGCATAAAAGCAGCAGACAGTTCAATACTGTTAAGAGCAGCGTGATCTGCACTGCAGATCATGGCCAGGCTGCTGCCAACCAAACAACAGTGCAGCGTGGCCACCTGCTTTTATCTGTTTCCCTTGACCTCCAAATGAATGGATGACTGTGTTGATGCAGGGTAATGTCTTTGCCTTTCATTTCTCATGGCTTTTTGATATTACCAGTTGCCAGTAATATCAGTATGTCAGTTCTGAATGGCTTTTAATTTTTTTTTTTTTTAAATCAATTTGGTTCTTCTTGACAAAATGAGTCTAATCCGTGTTGGCAGCACTAATTGTCCTACATCTAAATCTACAGTTACATATCTGAGCAAGAGTCATCTGGACAATTGCACAAAACATGCACATTTTTGTTGCGAAAGGAACTAGAAGCTTTTTCAATGATACCATGAAATTTAATGCTGTAAGGCTTTTAGTAGATCAGACAAATTGAAGTTGAGTTGGATAAAAATTCAGCTACTTCAAAGAATTAAGGCTCTGTAGAAAATAGAGGGTTATAATTGTCATGGCAAGGATTGCTCAGAATTACATAAATTTTCTGCTTTCTGTCAAGGCTATTAAAAAATAAATAGGAACACGATGAAGAAAAAGAGGATCATTTTTCTCACATATTTGTGTTCTAGCTGTAATTGAAAATTTTTAGTAAAAAGCATGCAAAAGTTTATCAGCCCTCCAAGAATAACTCAAGACCTAAGTACTTCCTTAATATACCTGAACAGGCTGTAAGAGACTTTTTTGTTTGGAGTACTAACATGCATTAACAAGGAAGATTTCCATGTGTAAAATGCACTTTGAGAGAAAAAGCTCCCCAAAGAGGGACAAGACTCACTAATTCTTGTATAATATTAATTATAAAAATAATAACAGCCACTCAGGCATTTATCAATCTAGGATTTCAAACCGTTAATTAAAATGCATTTCACAAACATCTGTATTTTTGCTTTGCCTCCTGCCACATTCTCTTTTGCCCTCCAAGCCTACCACTATCTTAAGAGCATCCTATTTTCCTGAACCTTTCCTCATTTTCCCCAAACACATGCCGTAACTAACTTATTCTTCTGTTGTACCAAAGCAGCATTTTGTGGGGATGCAATGCAAGATGGCTCCCAGAAATGAACTGGCTGAAAGGAGGCAGAGAAGGGAAAGGGATTTTGTGTTCCCTCTGCACACCTTGTCTGGGTTGGCTCACTGATTCAGTTATAGAAAACACCACCATAAACTGGCATTGTCACAGTGCTGCAGGGAGCAGAAAACACACACACAAAAATAAACAGAAGCACATGCTAGCAAATTACACCCGGGGAACAAACTGATGGATATGTTACCTTCTCATTGATTTGTACTTTTTGTACTGTAGAAGACCTAGGGCTAGCTGTCATAGACAGACTAAGCAAAATCACCACCTTTAAGTAATACCCAGATTGCAAAATAGCTCCAAAACAAAATGGAACATATGTAATCACAAACAAGCCCACAGATAAACAACTGGCAGGTTACACATTATCAGTGCATGGCTGCTGTGTGGGAGGAGTAGGGGGGAAAGAAAGAGATTGTTACTGTAAACATGATCAAAATGGCAGAGCAACCAGAGGGAAAAAAAGTCCAACAAAATTTCATGAAAGACATCCAAACTGAAACTAATCTAAAAAAGGAATAAAGCCTTCAAATTTGTTTGTTTGCCCTGTAGCTCTGAAGAAGTAAAATATGAAATAATATTTCTGCAATGCCCTCCTCCCTGGATTGCTCCAGGTTTAATACTTGTCAACAGCGGTAATGTTCAGTGCAGTCAGCCCCAAACCAGACACTGTATGTCTTTCTGCTTATGTATCCACTGCTGAAAATGCAGCTTCAGCCATACAAGCACAGCATAAAAAGCCCCGACATCTCCCAGTCCTCTTTCCTCCTTCCTGGTCATTCCCTTGTAAAGTACTGAAAATTCAATATTAGACAGCTTGTAACTAAAAAAAAAAATAAATCTGATGCTTCATCTGTGTCAAAAATGACAAGTTCCTAGGTTTCTCAGCTCTGTTTTGCTCAGCTTGACTCTGATACAATGAAGCTGGTACCTGCAATATGTGATGCAGGAAAATTTAATAGTTAAATGTGATCTCACCATTAAGTGCAGTTATTCTTGGTTAGGGTAGCACAGCATAAGAATGGTAAATATGCAAAATACCCTAATTTGTAGATGCTGTCCCACAAATCCATGATAGCCAGAACTTAGTAAGTAGCCTATTTACATTTCCTGAAATAATCACAAATGATTCAGTAAACAACATAAAGTAAACCCCAAACAGCAGAAAGATAAATTAAAACCCTAAACAGCAGAAAGCCATTGCAGTGGACCTGACTGAGGAATGAAGCAATTAAAGGCTGACTATGCTATTTCTACCCAGAAATAAATGTCTGGATTTCAGCATCAAGTCAGTGTGATTCTGGAGAAGCTCTGCACTGTAAGCTGTTTAGCACTTGTCCAGGAAATAAAACGCACAGCGTAATCTCTGCATTGGCTTTCTCATACGTGATATGGGGCGATGACTTTGCACTGATAGGCAGTATCTGCTGTTTAGTTATTTGGTCTTACGAGTACTGGCTTTCCACATCAGGGGGTCTGAAAATGTTTCCACTGCCATACACACGAATGAGTTGAAGCGGGGAGTACAGATTACTGTTTCTAAGTACATGACTTGGCTAAAATAAATAAATAAAAATAATAAAAAATGTATCAATGTATCACTTTTACAGCGCATTAAAAGAGAAGAAAAACTGTTAGACGTGTTTATTTGTTTGAAAACTGGTCCATTTTACTATTTCCAAACATTTTCAGATTTAAATGCAGTTTCTCAAGGTCTTTAAAGTGAGAAAAACATTCCCAGGTGAACATAAACCACACCAAGCAGAAATCAAGGCACAAAAGCTACCAAAACCAGACAGTGTCTTGCCCAGGGTATGTGCATCTGCACAGATGAATCTGAAGCACAGAATATTATTTGAAAGGCTTCAAAAGATACATTCCATGCTAAGAATATTATGACTATGCTTCTAATGTGTGAGAGCCACCTAAGAAGTGACCAGTAGAAGTCAAACAAAAAAACTGATTTGTAATTATTATAAGGTTGGGAGATTGGTGAAGGGGGTGGGCAGCTGAGCTTTTTCGATTTGGAGAGCTTTACAACACACTTGGAAAGTGCTAGAAGATGTATGGCAACTGCAACCCAAAACATCACAAATTTTTCTGTGTTTCAAAACAAAATTTAACTTCCATTTATTTAAGACTCTCTGATATTTATATGCAACCTGTCACTGATTTTCAGACACCACTCCTCATGTTTAATGCTGTTAGATCATTTCTAGAAAATGGTAGGTTTGTTTAATGTAAGCCTGTCACTGCACAGCAGAGTTGGTGGCTGTCAATAATACTCTGAAGATACTTACTGTAGTCAAAGTCTATGGAGGCAAATTGTTATTAAAAGAATAAGGTTTAGTTCCAAAAATACACTGTTGAAATAAAATAAAGTCTTCAACAATAAATATATTTGATTTGTTTAAAAGTTTTTGTTTTGTTTTTTTAGTCAAGA